CATTTACGAATTTGCAATAGACTTTGATAAAATTGCGTTGTGGCGAATGTGGATATGATATTGAGGATGATCGAATTTTGAAACATCATTGTCTCTCTCAATATCGGGAAGTTGAACTGATGGGCTTTTACGTATACCCCCCTCCTGTTAGAGGTAGGTACAACATATCAGTAGGTACTCTTTATAGAATAAAATTTTCTAGAATCAAATGCTGATCTACCAATATTTTAGGATGTAAAAAAAATAATGCTTCTTATATATCTAATGATTCCGAGACTTGGATCAGAGTTGAAGACTGAATGAACATATGAATTTTATATTTTGTAACATTAATATAATACTAACATTTTCCGGTGTCATGATAAACAATAAAAAAACCTTCCAACTATGCAATAAAAACAAAAAAACGGTTTGTTTACTCGCGATTACGTTGAGCTGGATCTTACACGGCTATCCACAGGCGGCCTGAGTCACGTGCACTTGGAGCGCTCGGAGCAAGAACGCGTGTTCGGGCTAGAGTTCGGAGCACTCCGAGCGCTCCGAGCGCTCGGAACCTCTTAATCGAACAAATCTAATAGCCAGGTTTAGCTTGCGCCAGCTATTCAGCGTGTACTGTGTATAGTCAAGGATAGTGTAGTGTGAAAGTGTGTAGCGGTGGCGATAAGCGAAAAAAAAAAGAGTGTTTTGTAAAAGACTAAAAATCATCATCGGCCTCTAAATCACGGATGAATTTGTAGCTTCGCCGAGGGCAGCGTCAAATTAAACAATGTTTCACCATTACGTGGTAACGGCTCACAAGCCAACCTCCGTCTCGGCTTGCGTGACCGGTGAGTTAACCTAATATCCCTTCGCGCGTTTCTTTTTTTCAAACTATGCTTATTTTAAAATCGCATCCTCATCGTGCGCTATTTTATATCTTCAAGGCAACTTTACCTCTCCCACCGATCTCAATTTGATTTTGGCCAAGAACACCCGTCTCGAAATATATCTCGTAACACCTGAAGGGCTTCGACCTCTTAAAGAAATTGGCATCTACGGACGGATTGATGTTATCAAGTTTTTCAGGCCACAGGTCGACTATTAGAAATAAATTTTAGTCGCCACTCTACCCTTCTTTGAATTGGTGTTGGACGGCTTTTTTTAATTGTCTATCATATTATTTTGTAGCACGAGAAGAAAGATCTTCTTTTCTTGCTGACGTACAAGCTCAATGCCATGATCTTGGAATGCATCGGAGAAGGAGAAGACATTGAAATCATTACGAAAGCCCACGGGAACGTTTCTGACAGTATTGGCAAGATATCCGAGAGTGGCATCAAAGCTATAATTGATCCCAAAGCGAGGGTCATTGGTTTACGGCTTTATGATGGATTGTTTAAAATTATTCCACTTGACAAAGACAATCCAGAGCTGAAAGCATCTTCCATTCGTATGGATGAACAAAATGTAGACAATTTTTCTCCTTTATTTCATTTTTTTTCCTCTTCTTCATAGTGCTTAAATAATGTATTGATGGTTTAAAGGTTCAAGACGTAAACTTTTTGCATGGATGCGTCAATCCAACTTTGATATTGATTCATCAAGATATTAACGGCAGGCATGTAAAAACGCATGAAATTTCACTAAAAGACAAAGAATTTGTGAAAATCCCGTGGAAGCAGGACAACGTTGAACGTGAAGCCATAATAGTCATTCCAGTCCCGTCTCCGATATGTGGAGCAATCATAATTGGACAAGAGAGCATCATGTATCATGATGGTACAACTTATGTTACTGTAGTACCACCAATCATAAAGCAAAGCACAATCCATTGCTATGCCAAAGTGGATAGCCAAGGCTTGAGGTATCTCTTGGGTGACATGGCCGGTCACTTGTTTATGCTTTTTTTGGAACAAGACAAAAAACCAGATGGTACAATGGTTGTAAAAGATTTGAAGGTTGAACTGCTTGGAGAAGTCAGTATCCCAGAGTGTATAACATACCTGGATAATGGAGTTATCTTCATTGGTAGTCGCTTGGGTGATTCTCAACTGATCAAACTAATCACCAAGGCAGACGAAAATGGTTCCTACTGTGTCCTCATGGAGAGCTTTACAAATCTCGCTTCTATAGTTGACATGGCTGTTGTAGATCTCGAGAGGCAAGGACAGGGTCAAATAGTCACGTGCTCTGGCGCTTTCAAGGAAGGCTCACTGAGGATCATTAGAAATGGAATTGGCATTCAGGAGCATGCAAGTATAGACTTACCTGGAATTAAAGGCATGTGGGCTTTAAAAGTAGGAGGATGCAATTTCGACAATACTTTGGTATTATCGTTTGTCGGCCAAACAAGAATACTTACATTGAACGGAGAAGAAGTAGAAGAGACTGAAATACCAGGTTTTGTTGCTGACGAGCAGACCTTCCACACGAGCAACGTTACAAACGAAGTCATCATTCAAATAACCTCGGTTTCCGCCAGGCTTGTCTCTAACGCAACTAAAAATGTCATATCCGAGTGGGAACCCGAAAATAAGAAAACCATCAGTGTTGTAGCATGCAACGGAAAGCAAGTCCTCTGCGCGACAGGGAACGAATTATTTTACTTGGAAATTAATGACAATCAAATTGTTCCAAAGGGTTTTACTACCCTTCAGCATGAAGTCGCCTGCCTGGATACCTCTCCATTGGGGGGAAAAAGTGAGGCGAGTCTTGTAGCTGTTGGCTTGTGGACAGACATCTCGGTCCGTGTTTTAACTTTACCTAATTTGGAAGAAGTTAATAAGGAACTGCTTGGAGGTGAAATTATACCAAGATCAATATTAATGACGTGCTTTGAAGGAAATTCTTATCTTCTTTGTGCCTTGGGAGATGGAAGTATGTACTACTTTACTCTTAATGAACAAAACGGAACACTGGCTGACAAGAAAAAGGTCACTCTTGGCACTCAGCCAACAGACTTGAGGACATTCCGATCTCTCTCCACTACAAACGTTTTTGCCTGCTCGGACAGACCAACTGTCATTTACAGTTCCAATCACAAGCTTGTATTCAGTAATGTCAACTTGAAAGAAGTAAATCACATGTGTTCATTGAATGCAGAAGCATATCCAGACAGTTTAGCTCTTGCAACAGACAGTACTGGTAAGGGTTTTTTTTTTTTTTTTTTTTTTTTTTTTTTTTTTTTTTTTCAATTCTAGATATGTATTAAAAAATTTATGAATTTTTTCAGTCACAATCGGTACCATCGATGAAATACAGAAGCTTCACATACGAACTGTACCCTTGGGTGAGTCCCCAAGAAGAATCGCTTACCAAGAGGCAACTCAGACGTTTGGAGTAATCACCACGCGCATTGATGTTCAAGAAAGCAATGGAGTTACCATTGTAAGATCATCCGCTTCTACTCAAGCAGCTTCTGTATCATCTAGCAGTGCACTTGCGTCACACAACAAACCCAGTAATGCCACTAGCGATGTTGGACAAGAAGTTGACGTTTATAATTTATTGATCATTGATCAGCACACATTTGAAGTGCTTCATGCACACACACTGATGCCAAACGAGTATGGAATATCATTGACCTCAACTACATTAGGAGAAGATCCAACGCCGTATTACATTGTTGGTACTGCATTTGTTAATCCAGACGAATCAGAACCAAAAATGGGTAGAATCTTACTTTATCATTGGAATGATGGAAAATTAACACAAGTACGCAGATGTCGCAAATTGATTTTTTTCGTGTGATGGAATATTTTCAAACTTATTGGAAACATAATCAAAATATTTTATTTAGGTTGCCGAAAAAGAAATCAAAGGTTCTTGTTATTCCCTTGTTGAGTTTAATAAGAAACTTTTAGCCAGTATTAATAGCACAGTCAGACTATTTGAATGGACAGCTGAAAAAGAATTGAGGCTAGAGTGCAGTCACTTTAATAATGTTATTGCTTTGTACCTAAAAACAAAAGGTGACTTTGTTCTTGTGGGTGATCTGATGAGATCAGTCACATTGCTGCAATACAAAACTATGGAAGGTAGTTTTGAGGAAATCGCCAGGGATTACAATCCAAATTGGATGACTGCCATTGAAATTCTAGACGATGATACTTTCTTGGGGGCTGAAAATCATGACAATCTTTTTGTATGCCAAAAAGACAGGTCAGTGTTATAATAAAATATTGTATTTTACAGTTAATAATTTTATTACTATTATTATTATTATTATTATATTGTACGTTATTCAAGTTGCTGTGCAAAATACATCCACATATCGTTCAAATTTTGTGCGCTAGTGTAATCAATTTTGTAATTTCGTTCAACTATTATTTGCAGTGCGGCAACATCCGAAGAAGACAGACAACAAATGCAAGAAGTTGGACAGTTTCATTTAGGAGATATGGTAAACGTATTCAGACACGGATCCTTGGTCATGCAGCATTTAGGCGAATCCAGCACTCCAACGCAAGGTTGCGTTCTGTTTGGTACCTTGAATGGTGCGATTGGTTTGGTTACGCAAATCCCGGCGTCTTTCTATGAACTCCTTCGTAATCTAGAAGACAGGCTTGCATCTGTCATCAAAAGTGTAGGAAAAATCGAACACAGTTTCTGGAGAAGTTTCTATACGAATTTGAAAACGGAACAGTGCGAAGGATTCATTGACGGCGATTTGATCGAAAGTTTTTTGGATTTGAGTCATGAAAAAATGGCTGAAGTTGCAATGGGTCTGATTGTAAGTTTCATATCAAGCAAGCGCTAGACAATCAAAAAGTTTAATTTATAAATCAAGTAAATGTGTTTTTTTTTTTTTTTTGTTGTTTTTTTCTTTCAGATCGACGACGATAGTGGAATGAAGAGAGAAGCAACTGTTGACGATTTGGTAAAGATTGTTGAAGATCTGACAAGAATACACTAAGTAGCGGTTTCTCAAAGTTTTAATTATAAAGATTTATAAGTATAAAAAATCGAAAACAAGGAACGAAATGGAACAACGTAAACCAGTTAATTTTAAATTGTCATTCAAAAAGCACTCAGTATGCTCACAAGTTTTGTAAATATGTAAGAATCATGGCATCTAAATAAGGATCTTCGCAAGATTAGTGAAAAATCAATATGTTAATGAAAAAAGACGTTCTAACTTGTAGTTTTGAACGAACTGAATGATTATATTGTGTTAATTTTAGATTTAAGCTTTCTCTACGAAAATATAGATTTTCAAAAACACCAATTACTTGCATTTCCAACGTTTAATTAAAGTTTTGGACGACTAGCATTAGCCAAAGTTATTGGATCAAAGAGCCATTCTCTCAGTTCATTTACACCTTGTCCTGTGAGTCCACTCGCCTCTATGACTGTGATTTCTTGACGCACTTCTTTCTTGAGCCTTTGTAAATGTAACATGAGCAGCGCCTCGTTTCTCATTTGTCGATATGACTGATCCATTTTTGTCAGTATCAATGCAAATCTTGCTTGTTGTAATTTTGGCTCAAGCAGTAATGAATAAAGCAAAACTCCACCTGCACTTATTTGGCATAAATTACTCGCATCTATCACATAAATCACTTTGTAAACCTAAAAAATTTATTTTTGTTAAAAAAAAGTATCTACAATTTATTTAAAAAATTAATTATATTTATCCGTGCAATTAATTTAACAATCATAATTACTCGATCAAAATGGTGCTTCCATATAGGTACCATGCTACCTCCGACCTCGCGAATGACCAAGTCGAAATGCTTGTCCGCACTTTTAACAGTAACTAGATTAATTCCATTGGTTGGAACGACATAATGAGCGTCATCTATTAAGTCCCCCCGAAGATTTCTCAAAAGTAGAGTTTTACCAGATTTCAGAGGACCCAAACATATACACATTTTCGACTTTCAATGATTATTGATTAACAACTGGCGTTTTCTCCCATGCCAACGGACTTGAGTGGTGAGGTAAGGGAAAATGAAATGAGGCGCGTTATAAAAAGATACAAAGAGTTTTTATTCACCGCAACACTATATGATTTATTTTACATCTTTTATTAACAATGAAAAACAAAAGATCGTTTCATGTAATCTGCAGATCGAGTTACCGATAACACTGTTTTGAAACCTGAAATAGTATGATGTCCAAGAAAATTTTGAAATAGCGCAACATTTAAAGCTCCTCGTGCAAGCTTTATTAATTACCGATGAAGAGCCAGTAGTGAAAAAGCTTTACAGGATAAATAAGTTCGTTAATTGGAATGATCTTTGCATAAGTTAGCGTCTTTCGTATTGTTACGCATAATCTCGTGTGGTGGTGAGTTGAACATTAGCAAAAATATGTCAGCGATTGCGCTTAATTATTTTATGAATTTTTAATGCCAAGAAAAACGCTAATTTTCTCTTGTGAAAGCACATCCCCTCCCGGGACTCAACAATGCCACACAAATGACTCTTTTATAAGCAGAAGAGCTTAAATAATTGAACACCGGCTATACGACCTACAAATTCCATGAAACAACCTTTTTTTATTTTATCAATTTAAGGAAAACTTTTTTGGTATTTTCAGGCACGGCCAATGAGTGTTTGGTCACATGGGGTATGTACGTACGCATAATTATGTATACCTACATACCACGACAAAAAAATTCCATTACAGAAGGAAGTGGACTCTCAGGATAAAGAAATAAGTGAGCTATGTGTTAAGCGTTTCAAACTTAAATTACACTTTAAAAATGCAAATAATCGGTGATTTTAAAAATCTATGTTTTTGTACAGCAAAATTAAATCTTAAATTAACACAATACATCCAATCTTTTGATAACTTTACAATATTCATCTTCTAAATCACGATATTCTTTTTCAAGAACTTGAATACGATTTTCATTTTGAGAAATACAACTAAGTCCGGAGCTTCCTTCTTTAGATTTCTTTGCTAATTCCAATTTTTTCTGATCATTTTCCTCTTTTTTGTATGGAATATTTAGTCTATTTTTAATATCCAAGCGATAACTACGGTACTCATCACTATTATGCAAATTTGTAGCTTTCAACCTCAAGATTTCATAGACTCTGCGGGCTTGTTTCTAAGAAATAGAGAGAAAAATTAGTACCTTAACATAATTATAAAATTTACATACCCAAAAATATATATTTACTGACCTTGTTGATTTTAAAATGTTTACGTGCTTCAGTAGCCATGGCTTCATTAAAACCTTGCATTAATTTATCCTTGGAAAAACTTGATAATGTGCAACAATTCGTGCAATCCACGTAGTCTCTCAAACGTTGAAAATCTTCTGAAGGATCTTCAACTGTAAAAGGATCATGTAGTTATAAAAGAGTCAATTTGAGAAAACTTCTTAAGTCGAAAAATTACCTGTAATATCTTTGACTAGTTCATTTTTCATATACTCTTGATAAACACCTCTTAGTAAGTGGTTACCCAACCCCATACCTTGAAAAGGTGGTAAAATTAAAACTTGAGCTATACGAGGTCTGATATGTTCAGGAAAAGCATAATATAGGTAGACAGTTGCAAAACCAACTGTAGCATAACGCACAGAATTATCTGCATCCATCTTGATCCTTTCATACCTGTGAGAAAGATGATTTAAAAAAAATTAAACAATTTTTAATCACGAGGATTATTTATAGTTACACGTTACTCACATGTTAAAATAGTCCCATTGATCATCATCAACATCAATAAAACTTGCAGCATCAATGTACCATAGCAGAAATGTTCGCAAACGCAAATGGTGTTCCTTAAATTTTGCAGACTTTATAGAAGATTTATAAATTTCGAACCGTCGGGTTTCACCATCATCTATTGTTAGTTGAATAAAATTTTAAAAGCTGGTTACTAATAGCCATGGCATTAATGAATTGCTTTATTGACATCAAAAAATTACCATCGATTGAGACACTGCTTAACAATTCTCCTTCGGGTTTAAAAACTAAATCTTTGTCGAGACTTTGTGCAAATGAATCAATGTTTGTGTGAAACTTAGAATCTAATTTTTCAGCAACATTCTTTAAAACCTCATCAGGTTCAACGCCATCCGTTAGAGTCTTATCCACCTTTTCTGAATAAGTCATACCTAAATATGTTTCTAAATTTCCAGCTGCATAATACAGTTGTATTTTCAGATCTTTGTATCCAAATATCGTTTCACTAAAAAAAATATCAAGGTATTTAATCATATAATGAGTACAATTTTGGAAAAAAATCGGTATGATTATTGGACATACTTTTCAAATACTTGATGAGACATTTCTGGCTTAAATGTGGTTGTCTCGTCCTCCAAGTCTCTGACATGACGAACCAGCTTAAGTTCCAGAGCATCATTGCTGCTACAAATGTAAGGTTTAAGTTCAGCTATTTTATCATCCATGACTCTGAAACAAAAACGAATCAAAGCAATTATATGATTGATGACAGTTGTTTACATTTTCTTATGTTAAACAATTGACTGATATTAGTTTGCAGGTATTTAAGAGTTATGAGCAAATATCAGTGTAACAGTAAAAGAATTTTATCAATGTTGTTGTTTTGATAAAGGTGATGAAAATAATTAGGGGTTAGGAGTACGCCCGACAAAAATAAGTTATCTTTCAAAAAATTTTACGCTTGAGGACAACAACTGAGTATAATTTTAAATAGCTATCTACTCTAGTATACGAAAATTTACTTACCTTAAAAATCCAATTTTGCGAGAACAGTTGTTTAAAGAAAAACGGGCCTAATATTCGCACCAAAGCGAAATGAGATGTGTGTAAATATAGTATAAAAAGAGCGGATCCCGCGAAAATACCGAGAAAAAAACATAGACCGCGGGAAGGTGGGGTATACCGGGGTAATCTCTTTCGATTGGTGTATTCATTCGCGCAATAAATTAAAGTGGATAAAATGTGAACCTCATGTAGTATTCCGCAAAATAAAACTTGTCGGGTTTGTTAACACGGTTGAAAAAATTATTAATTAATTTAACACAGTTTTTTTTATAATAAGGGTTGAGTTAATTAATTGTAGCCAAGATGATTCCTTTTTTTATATGTACAATGATTATATAATATATATTATGTACTTACAAATATATTTTTCAAAAAACAATTCATCACGTTTCGTTTTGATATTATACAATTTTTACAGTATACTTTTACAATAAATTTCATTTAATAGCGAGTCTAGAAATTTAATATTTCTAATAAGGAATGCAGCTTGTATAATTATAATACAGTATTTATAATCATGTTAAAATGAACAAAAAAATACTTATATTACGTATTCTCTGCTTGGCTGAATAAAAAAATACAAAATGATTTAATTTTGATGCAGAATAAACAAATCACATGACTTCAAGTTTAAAATGTAGGTGAATTTAAAATGAACAATTTCTCCTCCTCTTTTTTTATCCACTTCAATAGTTTACTTATAGAGTTTATTGCATCAGTTTTAGTAACTAGAGGTTCAAAAGTTACGTATATTTCAAATCCAGATGTCACCTGTAAGCATTACATGATGTTAAATACATTTATATTTTATCTAAATATTTATTGCAATACAAGATTTATAAAAGTCAAAGCATACCCATGCAAGCATTGTTTCTTTTTCCAATTGTTGGAAAATTAATTTTAATGGTCGACTGGGCGAATGGAGTCTATGATGCAAGCATTGATAACATCCGAGTAACCTTTGGATTTCCTCATCTGTATTGTAGGGTGATTGAAATCCTGGACTCCAAAACTGTGCAGTACTCTTACATTTATACAAAACATGCCTCATTTCAGGCAAACCGATCTCAGCGGTTGTTACAGGAGCCTTATTCATAGACTCATTGATTGCTTCCAAACAACTGGTTCTTCTCAATTTTTCAACAATTTTCTAAAAATCACGAAAAACACATACTTATTGTAAAACTCGTTGTTCATTTTATAATTTTTATTACTATACCTGTTTGGCTTCAGATAGCGTATAAAATACGTCTCTTTCAACCGTCAGCAGTAGTAAGCAAGCCTGACAGTCTTCTGCCAAGTAAGAAACGTGACCATGCATGAAACCGTTGGAATCAAATTTTGGCAAGCAGATAGGTGTCCAGCTTTCAGCACTTTTAAACGATTCAGAGCTATCAACTAAATTTTGAATCAAATGTAGATCAGCTGGATGTATGAAAAACTTTTTCATTCTGACTAATGTTATCAACTGATTATTAGCTAAAAGTATCGCAAAAACCAAGTTCTGAAATAAATAAGTTACGATAAAGATCTACTAGCTACATCCTTGGGTAACATTTTTCAACTTACTTTAATTTTACCGCACGTTTGAACGATTGTCTGTGTAATTGCGTCCCTCATAGAAGGTAAAAGAGGCAAACACTTGATTGCCCCGAGAAAAAAAGCTGGCTCTCTGTCCATAAAGTTTAACAAGTGATCTATTAATCTTTCGCTGCCTGTCAGCAACCTCCTGAGGTCAAAATTTCTTCTCTGCTCGTAAACTCTCACTAGTTGGGATTGTGTCAGTACAGACAATATTTGATTATATACATAGCTGAAAGGAAAAAAACAATGGCTCAATACTTTTGACAACCCTGCAATCTGTATTGAACTTACGATAACTGAAGCACAAGTTGTGGCACACTTTCAAGAGTCTTGGAGACACAAACTAAAATGAGCGGTCCCCTTGCAATGAACACAAAATTCGCATCCCCAGCATGAATCGACTTGATCATGTCGTTGCTATCTTGCACAAACGACACAAGAGCCTGCATGACTCCCATGACTGTGACTAGTTTATCTTCAGAACTGTATCTGGAGTATATCGGTTTGCCAGCTTGGCTCAGCACAAACACATGTTTCTTTTGCGCCAGCCAAGTTTTACATCTCAACGGATCGGCGTCCAAATTGCACTGCTCGAGCCTGTGTGAAACTTCATCCTGAAAACCAAATCAATGACTCCTTGTTTGAAGGACACACTTCAACAGGCTCCAACATTAAAGATGTCATGCATACCACGTCAGCGGTGTCCAGGGACTTGTCGAGATCTCCGGAGCCAGTTTTTGGAGATTCCGGGCGAGCATCCGCAACAATAACCCTCTCCTTGGGCTCTGGAGCCTCGAGACTCCCACCGCCGATGCTCTCGTCGTAGTCCTCGTCGTTCTCGGTGGTGAGGAGCATCGTCTCGCTGGAAGCTCCAGGCTCGATGCCTGGCTCTACAATCACGTCCTCCGGCTTCGTGACCGAGGACGACGACGACGGACCACCACTTGACATGGCGATTGTGTTTAACGTTTTGTTTGTCGTAGGTAACAGATCCTACACGAGCCGATCAAATATTGATAGAAAATTCTTCTACATCCTTGGGACACCTGATCTGATAAAAAAAAGAAGAAACGTGTGACGTGTGCCCACCCCCGTATATACGGGCGCCCAATTCACGCAGCTGATTTTTCTCACTTATTTGCAGCGTCCACCGATAAAAACAGGTTCGTTGTGCTTCGACCTTAACAGTGATTCTTCGAAAAAGTGTAAAATATATTCGTTATGATTATATTTTTTATGAAAATAAAATAAATACATTCTCATGCACACCTTCAAAATTAGTCTTATTTTTTTTTTTTTTTATGAGAATGAATTTTTGGAAAATACTACCTTTTTTGCAACTTACGTTATTGTCCAGATCCAAATAGTTGCATCAGGGTAATTTATTCGAAAAATTGTACTTATGTACGTATATGTCGCCATGCAGATAAAGACCATAATATGGTCTTTCAAATTATTTGCAAATTTAAGAATAATGTCGGGCCGAAAGCATATGTTAAGTACTTCCTTGAAATTTTAACACTTGTTGAATCGAAAAATATTGTCGTGAATAAATATAATAATTTTACACTCGGTTTATTGAATTTGACCAATTTAGATGTAATTTCGCAGATTGAATAAAAAACAGTAAGCACCGCGTAACTAATCATTTTTTCATAAGTGACGTTTCACATTTTCTATACTTATCAATATAAAAAAAAAAATTTTTTTTTTTTTTCAAATTACTAGTAACTTGTGTCTGGCGAAGAAGTAAAATTTGTTTGAAACTGTCTAGTTTTTCTCAAGATCAAAATTCACAGTCAATAATATAATAGTACCATCGTCACTATTGAGCTATTTTGCGTTGTTTTTCTTACCGAGGAGGCAGTAAACGTTCAAATGTCGCAAAAAACGCCTTGAGGTAGTAAAACCAATTTTTTCGTCCCAACCGAAAAAAAAAAAAAAAAAATCGTACACAATAACCCACGGCCGAAAGTAAAGAAGTTACCTTCTTTATATTTTCTCGGCCTATATAGGATTAGGCAACTTCTTGGCCGTCAACGCGAAAAAAAGTAGCAATTACTTTTCGGGTGGAAATTGTACACACTCCTTGACCCGTAAAATAAAAAAAGGAAGCCTCGGGTCACACGTTTTGATTGCTCTAAGCTGAAAAAAAAAAAATCAACTGTGGTATTAATAATCATAAAACTGACGTGTATACCTACATGTAAAACATTAATTTACAGTATACTATTCTAAAACTCGATGTATTAATCACAAAAAATTCATCGTTGCACCTGTAAAAGTTCACCGGCCATATAGTTGACATACGTTTACCCATGCCTTTAGAGTTGAAAAGAGTAAAAAAAAAAAAAAAAAGTGTACCCATCAATCACAAAGAATGAGAAAAAGAAGGGAGCATATCGGCTGGAGCTTGCGAAGGCGCGAAACAAGCGTTGACCCATCGGAGAGAGGATAGACAGGCGCGGGAGGTTGGTCGTCTCCACGCCACCGCCGACGCGCGCTTACCTATATATTTAAGCGGGCAGTGGTGCAGGCTTTATTGTAAAAATATATCAGTCTTATCCCAGACGCGCGGCTCCTCGCTTGCTCAGGGCGAGACTACCCGTCTACGTCCAGAACCACCGCTTTTATACACACAACGGCATATCGTATACCTGTGTTGTACATGAGCTTTTCTCTTTTTTTGCTCGCCCACGCACTTTCTCTCTCTCTCTCTCTCTCTGTTTGCTGTTGAGTGACAACTTTGTTGTACATGTTACCTGTTTTGTTGTTTTTTTCCTCTTCGGGACTATTCTCGAGCAATCGGTATTCAAAAGTAGACAAGTTTACCGGGGTTCAGTGATTTTTGTGCGCGCGATGTGTCTACCGATTTCGTGAGTGCACAGATAATCCATACACATCGCGTAAATGTATAGTGTTTGTGTTTCATTGTCGCAAGCTCTCGGGTAAAATGAAAATAGTCTTTTTTTTTTTTTACTTTTTCCCGATCGCCGAAACGCTAATAATAAACGATCGGTGCGACGATGCTTTTGCATTGTTTTCCCCTCTTATATTGTGCTTCATCGTACTATATACACATATTATATGCTTTGTACATCTCAAATTTATTACAATTTTGTTGCAGTAAAATACACATTTTTTTGTTTTCGTTGAACGTAAAAAACGCCTACCTTTGAACTCTCTCTTGTATATAAAATTAAATGAAAAAAAAAAAAAAAAAAAAAACCGATCTCTATTGCAAGACACGTACAGCGTCGCAACATCCGTCAGATTCGTTCGCTTTGACGCGAAGAGAAGCAAATACACTCCTTCGCGGGTCTATTTTTCTGTACATACAAGAGAGGAAAAGGCAAGTTTTTTTTTTTCCGCAACCGTGTCGCGGAAAAACCTCATATTTTTGAATCATTAGCCCCGACAGTGGACGACGCGCTATATGATCGCAGGCGTGTTTACGAGCTCGATCTTTCGCGGGGGATCGTTAAAAGCGCTCTGACGAGGTATACGCGCGTATATATATATATACCTGTGTACATTTGCGCGCGCGTCAATGGTGATGTGGTATATAAATAGAGCGCGAAAAAGACACAGCGAGCGCATCGGGGGAGGAGGAGTTAGAAATATGAATAAAGGAGAATAAAGAGCCGGGCTGGCGAACGAGGGGGTGGTCGCACACACACCTATTTATCATTTCTATTCCAGTGAAAGCGCGTACATGTATTGTATAAATATACATACCTACGTATAGAGTTTGACAAAAGGAACGATGACGCGTCTCGCATATATATATATATATATACAATGTACACCTATATGTAAGATAATGGGGATGAGAAATAAAAAGAATGACAATGGGAGAGGAGGTACGGCAAAACTCAATTTGAGCTAATTCGGGCTAATCGGTTCGTTCAATCAATTTTCAATTGCCAAGCGCGCCGGCCCTATATATATATATTTTAACACGGAATGCGCGCGTGGTCCAGTTTGCGTAAATGGAGGAGGCGGTGATTTACAATTTGTACTTATTGTTTTCCTCGGCGTATTAATTTTCTCGTTTAGTGCTGAGGTACAACCACGCTGTTATCCGTTGTAGAAATTTTGACGGGCCAACAATATTATATTTAGCGCGAGTCTCGCTGAATTTCGGTGCGCGTGTATACTCTATTTTATTGTTTCTCGGGTCTCGCGCGCGACTGTTTGGAAGAGCTTTTCGAGGGAAATCCGGGTTGGTTGCGCATATACAACATAAGCCGAGAGAATTGGAAAATCGCGACAATCGTCCTTCGATGGGCTTATTGTATATACACGTGGCAAATATTCCATCTGAAAATATGTTACATTGTAATGCATATTACTTCATTATTTTTCGCGTTTGCCCCGTTGATTTTTGTCAAGCTTTTTTCCATCCCCAGCCGCATCTTGACACAATAATTATACTGAAACGCGAATGACGAAATGAGAGCACAACGACAATTATACTTTTGTTTTGCTTAATTTGTATAGAATATAGAATTCCTTGTATATACGCGAGTGCACCGAGGGCAACAAACTCCTTGGCGCGCGGTTGCTCGTATTTACGCGCGTATATACGTACGTATACGATAGCGTCTTTTTACTATACATGTACATTTGCATCATAAAAGCCTATACGGCGCGACTTTGGCAAACAAATATACTTGCGCGCATGTGCGCCATAGATATTGTAAGTAGATAAATAATCCACCAAATGTGCGTGTAGGCAATTTTAGGTGTTGGAGGAGAGAGGAGGAAAGGAAAAAAAATGCAGCGAATGATGAGCTTTCGGGGCTACGGGGCCGGGGAGACGAGCGAGTTCGTGACGAAACGGCTGTGCATCTCGTTTCTGCTGTCTGTGGGTTTTCTTTGTCTCTTGGGCGGCTTTTTGCTTGGGGGCTTTGCCTCCGACTGGAACCTCATGATGCGAGAGAAGCGCAAGATACACGAGCTTGCGGACAACGGGCTCCAAGGCACGAGGACCTTGCAACTCGAGCTCCTCGATCGGCTCAACGCGACCGCCTTTTACGAGGACTTTGAAATGTAGGCTTTTTTTTCTCCTCCCCCAAGTGCTGTTTTTGCAATGAGGCCCGTTTTCGGTTGTAAATTCAGTCTGATGATATGCGGAAAATTTTTTACTTTGTTGGGGCTATGATGAAATCGACATTTTTTGTACGTCACCTGAGCTTTTTTCAAGGTTTTCTCACGTTCTTTGGGCTTAAATAAAGCTTTTTTTTTTTTTTTCATCTCTATAAAATTTAAAGTTTTTTCAAATTTCGTGCAGCGCGTCAATTTGTATCGAGGAATATTTTCACATTTCTGAAGACGTTTTTATCGAGAAGGCGTGTCTCAAAAAAATGATTGCTTTTCGGGAAACTCCAGCCGGGGTTTNATTTGCCGATCTGAGCATTTTCAGGCTCAACGTTAACGAGACCAAGACTACCACGATGGCCACGGTTTGCGGATCTAAGGAACAGGGTGAAATTTTTTATTTATTTTTTTTCTTCTAGTACATTAGCAATTCATTTTTTTTTCACTTCTAATTCGCGTGAATAATTGTTCTTGGAGTTTGAGTGAGAAAAAAAAAGAGTCATTTCAAAATATTTAGACAGATATATCGTTTTGTCGGCCAGTGGCGAGGGCTTCGATGTTGCCATCAAAGTGGCCAAGACGCTCGATTACATACACAGAAACAAAGGATGGGAGCCCAAAAGATCCTTGATTTTTTGCGTCTTTTTGGGCTCGACTGACTTTTGTAGTAAGAAGTTCTTGGACCGCATCAAGCACAAGATCGTCGCCTACATCGCTGTGCACGGAAATGCAGCCAGAGGTTTTATTTTATTATCATACTTTTTTAACACACTCCATGCTCATAAGCTTAACTTTTGATTGTAATTTTAGGAGGTGATGAAATCGTAGTCTCGGGTTCCGGTATGGTCCAAGCCACCGTTATAGACTCGTTAAATCAGCTGAAATATTACAATGCCAACTATACGAAAATTCAGTCGATGAGTTCTCTACCTCGACTCAACATTGATATTCCTCACGCTGTTCTCTCTTTTGTAGTAAGTCGTTTTTTTTATTATAAACTTTTTTTTTTTTCGATTTCTGATTCAATAATCCAACAACCCTTAGACAAATACAAATTCAAGTTCAAAAAATGTTGAGCAAAATCAAAAGTACCTGGCTCAAATTGTTGGACACACCATGTGGACGTTGTCGGAAGAGACATTCTTTCAATGGGATCCAATGTACTTGAATGAAATTTTGAACAAAGCACTCACGACGATAAAAGATGAGGAGCTGCAAGGCACTAAAGGTAACGATGCATAACACGATATAACACAGTACGATTGATCAGAAACATCAAATATTTATGTACTAAAAATATGCATTTTATTTAGATAATCTCAATAAGACGATTACAAACCTCATAAATAGTATAAAAAACTTCAACTCGGAGTTAAAAAGAGTCGATATATTAAAGTGAGTGAAGAATTATTAAAAAAAAAAAAAATAAAAAATAAAAAAAAAAAAATAATAATAACATTTCCACATTGTAAGTGAAAATAATAAACTTTTCGTTTTAGAACTTTAGATATACGCATTATAAATGATCGAATAGTAGATTTAGATAGAGCACTACTTTGTCCGGATACATGGCTAAGATCTAAAACTGATTTAACAAATTTTAAATTATTTCCGCACGAACCAACGCACATGGTAAAAATGAATCTAAATGAAATTCAAGATTGTTACAAGGCTGCCAATGATATTATTGTTGAACAAGCATTTTGCAAGAGGCTGTTCAAAGATGTTGAAATCTTTTGAGAATCGAAATTAAAACTTTGTATTGTCACACTGACTCTTTTGACTTGAAGATATTTTCCAACTGATTAAAACCTTACCATTATTATTTACATCATAAGTATACAGACAATAATCTCACATACACAATTTTTCATTTTCATTCCTAAACAATACATACCACGCAACCACTAGTGTACACTTGTCGCACCAAATCTGATTTCTTGTTCAAACTGTTCAGGCTTCAAGGTTCCATCAATGGATTGGCAATTGGGATTGAAAACCGAGTATGCACTGACTTCTCCTTTTCGTTTAGGTCCCGACCTTGTGTTAAAGTAAATAAATATCAGTGCGGATATCACAAAATACGCAGCGCCAAACTCAGTTTCAATCGCAATGATGTACAGAGTAGCCCACAGCAAAAAGTAAAGACAACACATGGTCCAAGTGAAAAACGTACTGTCCCGAGGCGGCGTGCTGAAGTCTATGCTATCCTCTGAAATAATGCTCTCCAGGTCATCCTTGTCCTGAAATCTTTCATATTCTTATTTCACAAAACTCACTCCCCTCCCACGGAACTCCCATCATTGCTTCATCTTAAGCACACACTTGCAAATCAATGAACCAATAAAAAGGTGTTAGCATGTACAATATGCAGTAAATAAGTATAACCTTACATCAACAGTCGAGCCAGTGGGGCTTCGTTGCCAGGAGAGGACCTCTTTTATGCGACACACCATTGCTTCCTTGCGCTTCTTAGCTCTCCACGCAGCGAGCCTGGCTTCCATCAATCCAGACCCTAATCAGGATGACACACCTGTTTATCAATTGCGAACAGCTGCAGAAGCAGACGAAATCCCTTAAAAATTTTTTTGTAAACAAAACACGTACGGGGGAGGGGAGAGAAGAGAGAAGAGAGAGCAAGCTACAGTAGGTGTCGCTGTCAGAGCTTGTCGTCCGCGAAATTTGAAAGACATTTTTTTCGCTTGCCTCCGAGAAGGTTAACAATGAAGCTGATCGAGCACTACGAGGTGCTGATCGAGCGTCCCACCTCCGAAGTATCCTTCGCCTGGAAAGCGTGTATGATATTCACGCTTTTTGTTAGTTCGGCATCGAGTTACACCTGTGCAATCGCATTTTACAACTTTTGGGTGAGTTTGTCCACCTGCACTCACGCGTCATCATATAATATGTGTAGATTATAAAAGTGTTTCTATTTTTTGTTCCTCCTCTCCTCCGTAAAAAAAAAAAAAAAAAAAAAAAAAAAAAAAAAAAAAAACCGTCAAGTTGAAAGTGTCGAGAGGTAATTGCTTCTTTTGGGCGGAGGCTCGACTTAGACCGCAAGTGAACCTGAGCTACGTCCTTGCGGTATCTCACGATCCCAACAGGCTTCGCGACATCATGATCATTTCTCAACAACACAGGCACTGCGCGTTTTTTCAGTACTGCTGCGTAGTGTCCTTTTTCTTGGCGTTGATCACCATGGTGATGTTCACGATGTGCGGTAGGGGCGGCTACGGGGCCGGCCTGCAAGTTTTCACACCCTCTTTTGTTACCCAATACCTCCAATGTACGTTATCTAGTCAGATGTACTTATGTAACGAATTCTGGGTTCTGTCAAAAGATTCGCGGCTAGCTGGAGAATCGTCATACCCGCACTCGTCATATGCATGACCATGATGATCGCAACGATGCACACGACCCACCACTTCACCTACGGATTCCTGCACTTCAGGTTGTTAATTTCCCTTGCTCTCGAAATAAGTAGTTTTATTACAAATTTCGTGTGTACTGCATTTCAGCGACAGCCTGTATCTGCTGGCGCAACGGATCTTGAAAAATGGGGACAACCCCTTCAAGTATTACCGGTTAGTATGGCTGTATTGATTAAACCAAGTTTCAAATTGTGCGGATGATGTTGCTAATCACCAAGAAAATCAAAACGTTTGCGTAGCGCTTGCGAGGCTTTTCGAGAGTTCACGAGGATATACAACATCTACGATTTTGATTCTTGCGGGCTTTACTCGATCGTCGAAGTAAGGCAACTATAATTATATATGTGTATAATCAAATGATGAATTAAAAAAAAATATTTATTCGGTGTTTCATTGTAAATATCGGTTGAATTTTTAGTACACGTCTTGGATAACCACGTGGGGCTGGGCAGCGAGTTTTTTCATTTTAAGCTTGCGAGTGCTGACGTCCGCCGATTTCAACTTGTTGAAAGTCAACGTTTACGCAATACCCCCGGACAAGCGCAAGAGAGATGCCATCGTTGAGAAAGTTTATCAAGCCAATTCTACCGCCGCCAACGAGCAAAAACTACTGAAACACAAGTTATTCGACGAGTACGTAAAAAGAGAAAAAGTACTTTAACGCAAAAACCTATGTCATATAATAATTACTACGTGCAGTCACTGTAAATAAAAAAAAATATATATATTTGTCAAACTACGTATACACAAGATATATAAGCAAGTACTTGATGAAAAAATATCGACTACTGTTTGTCCTCGGGGATTTTCGTTTGAAGGATGTCCGATTGTTTTCTCAGGCAATCAATTTTTTTCATGTCAAACTCCATTTTTCTCAACAAGTACGGATTATCCAGCAATCCGATCTCCTCTCTCAGCTTCGCTATGCTCTTGACCATCGACGCCCTCTTCTTCACCAGTCGGACAACTCGGTGATACTCGCTCCTGTTTTTATTCACCAGCTCGTCCAAATCGTGCGATTTTTCCACCAATTTTTTATCGTACATATCCGACTCCTCGTCAATGTGTCGGACTATCTGAATCAACAAACGAAATAACGCGATGCCGATAATAACGAAATAAACAAAACATCTCATTGAAGCATCAGCCCACGTGAAAACGTGATACACGCATATTACCGCAGCGCACGTGAGGTTCGCTTCGCCGATCTTCCTCAGGCCGTGCCGCAGCTCGTCGCGCTTCTCCCCGTAGACCCCCTGCCTCCTGATCAGAGTCTCGTATTCGATGATCGAAAAGCCGGGGCCAAGATCGGCGTCGAGTTCACCGAGACTAGCCTGCAGCTTCTCCAGTCGCGAGCGCAGCCGCAGATAATCCAGTCGAATCCTCCCCACGTCCGCGATCCGGACACTCTGGGCCTCCAGCATCCGGTCGACCTCCACCAGCCAGGTCTGCTTGTCCATCCTTCGAGGCCTAATCTTCTTCGCCACCGACAATTCGCTTTCCTGGAGGCGCTCGTAACTCGAGCGGAAACGAGACTCTGCGAGCGTCAGCTCTTCCTCCAGGTCCTTCAACGACGCCACGAGGCTCGCTCTGCGCTCGGCTGTGTCGTCTCTTGATTGGACGAAAGTTTCCAGAGCCAAATGGTAGCTGTAACGGTTTGTTTGGGATTTCCAATATCCCGAGCGATGGAGGAGCAAACGTGTCTGATTACTCGCAGTGTGGTTTACCGGTCGTCCTGAAAAATCGAGCTTTCGTCGATGGTGTCGAGCGCGTTGGAAAACGAGGCGGAGTTGCGAATGGCGTGGATGTAGCTCCTGTGCAGGAACTTGTTTATCACCGTCAGTACGCGCCTCTCGACCTTCAGTTCCTTCGACTTGGCAATGAATTCCTGCCTCTCCTCCTCTGTCAGGGCTTCGTAGCGAAACCTCGACAAATCGTACTCGACCGGCGAAAAAGTCTCGTCTCTCGCGTCGCTGGTTACTACTTTTTTCTCCTCCTCCTCCTCCTCCTCCTCCTCTTCCTCCTCTTCCTCGTATTCTTCGGTAACGAGGACAATACCACCATCATCGGCGAGTATGGATTTTGCCGATCTCCGATGTAGCGACTGGCTCGGTGAGAAGTCGGTGTAACCGATTTTTTCACTGAAATCGATGCCTTCGTCGAAAAACTCGCCGTCGTCTTCTTCGATACTCGAACCCCACTTATCTGCCATGTCTACGTTTTATGTAACAATAAAGTTTACGATCTTTGTTGCGCAATGTAGGGAAGTGCAAGCAGATGTTTTGGAGGTCAGAATTAACGTCGATAGCCGATACCATATTTAAAATTACTGATTAAACCAATGTAATTTTATGACATTTTTTTTTTTTTATTACAATTCGCATCACGTACACGCGTAAGAAGCTGCGCGTGTGAACAAAAACAATAGAATTGCGTTTTTACGTATCGATATTTATCCTCCAATTTTACGCATAAGTTGGATGGTTATATTGTTTGTAAATGGTAAAGTATGAGGAGAGAGTGTCGTGAAAATATTTGAAACTTTATTAACTATATGGGCATACACAAGTTGAAGAAAATCAAAGGCAATAAAGAAATGGCGTTCAGCCATTTACAGACGAGTCAACGAATCGCGTGGCCATTGTTGCTTGGAACCCAATGTTCTGGCCACGGAGGCACATCCCAATGCAATGGCTATGGTGAACATCTCGAACGGGTTCGTCGTGCGCGGACCTGAGTTGTGCCAAAAACATTCTGCGTACCCGATTGGATGTGTTCACGTACGAGCCGTGTAGCAGTAAGTAGGAAAAGATAATGACTTCACCCTTTTTGGCGTTCACTGGCGTTGCACCGGAAATCGGAAAGCGATCTGGATCGGCGTACATGTATTTCTCGTTGTGCTCGTCGTAGAGTACGCGCTCCTTGAGAGGACCCAGTTTGTGACTGCCTGGATAAACGCAGAGGCCTCCGTTCTCCGGCGTTGTGTCGTCCAAGTGCACAAACACGGCTAACATGGTGTGCTTCTTGAACGGAAAGTACGGATAGTCCTGGTGCATGAGATACGGAGCGCCCTTCTCTGGTGGCTTGAGGTGAGCTTTCGTGTGATGGAGCAGAATATCAGGGGTTTCCAAGATGTCCTCTATTGCATCCAGGAGTTTTGGGTTCATCAACAGCCGTGTGAACACTGCGCTATGCATTTGCAAATTATGCACGGATTTTACCTGCAACAAGATATTTTTAATCTACCATGTCATCTAATTTGGCCAACATGAATTCTATATTTCCGTATAGGAGTTACTTTATTTATTTGACATACAGCAATACGGTTCAATTACTGAAATCGAAATGAATTTGAAATATTTATGAATAATGCAATATGATGAACGCTTCTTCAAATGTATAATTTATTGCATAAGTTTGAACGATTACAAGAATTGAATCAAAACTATTGTAACATTGAAAAAATTTATTAACGTCGAGTGAAAAATCTTACAGTGTAGTTGATGTTATTAGCCGCCTTTTTCATGTCGTCTCCGATCCAGGCAGCCTCTAAACCGGCCAAATCTTCTTGCTGCTTACGAGCAAAAAGCTCGGAATATTCTTTATCGATTTCGTCAAACTCTTCATTAGAAAATACGTTTGATAATTTGAGAAAACCGTTCTCTTTCCAGAATTCTTTTTGTTCGGGAGTCAGGAACTTTAACTTGCCCATGCTTAACACTAGTATCGTTGTCTCTCGCTCAAAGACTACAAAGAAACTGAACTTTGTGCCCTTAGGACCGAGTCTTAAATATGAATCTCCAAAGAAGCAACTCATTCCATTATATCGATCCGCTTAAAGAACTAATCATGCTGACGTAAGTAAAGATCATTTTTAAATTTGAAAGGAAAATTACATACTTTTAACGATTTTTTCTTTCTGAAGAATTCAACGTTATTCATAAGTTGTTTGGTGTTTGGTAATCAATCACTACGATAGTAATAACTTTTACTTAATTTTTTACTTATTCACAAAAATTATAACCAATTCATAATGGAAACTTTTATAAGTGATAACCTTTATGCAGTTGACTTATCAAAGTCAGTCAAGTCTGCTTACATGTAAACTTATCTTCACTAAGTTTTTAAATATGATATATATTAAACGACGCAACTTTGAAAAAAAAAAATACTTATAAAAATCTTGAACGAAAAAAAAAAGTTTTGGCATCGATAATTTTTATCCAATTATATAAACAGTTTGTGTATACGCCTGATATCGTCTGCAAAATGTCGTATAAGCGGAGGATTGTTAAAAAAATAAGCCATTCCTGCAAGCATGTTTTCCAATCGCATACGCATGGGAAATTTGTGGCTAGGAGCTCTTTTGCGACATTGAGCGTACACACAGTTTCTAAGAAAAATTAAATTTATAAATTTTTTGAACTGTTTTAAATGAAATCCAAAAATTGAAGAAAAAAGAAAACAAGTATCATCAAAGTTTAAATCCTTTGAAAACCTCTTTGGACTGATACCATGCCAAATTAAGAGGAAGATCTGAGTTAAACTTGTTTTTTTTCGTAACATCCTCGGAATCATGATCCTGATTTCTAAACAAATAGGAAATCTGGTGTGTAAAGAATTTTCTTACACCATCGCGGCAAACTGGAACTCTTCTTCCACATTTGCAATCGTCTAAAATATCAACCGTGTACTCCAATTTTATATGAAACGTAGTAGTCTTGTGTGAAGGAACGCTGAACTGAGGTTTTGGTACGAAAAACTCGGAAATCCCTCGTGGATCATCTTTATGAAGTAATATAAAAGTATTCGTAAGCCCCAACGGTAAAGCCATCTCATCTTGAAACTCAGGGCATTGAAAGATCGAGCTAGTAAAAAGAGAAAATTAACATGAAGATTAACAGATATATTTATAAAAAATGTAGTTTTTAAATGAAAATAATTACCTCATAACGGTCAATAGCGGTTGGCCCTTTTTGTGCTCATCACATGTATGTCTTTCGCTATCAAGGATCTCTAAAGGGATTTCAATTTTGATACAGAGTTTAGGACTAAAGATTGTGGCTCCAAACAAAATGATGATTTCTTTGACTCTGCATTGATTAGGATTAAATTCTTCAACTAGTTTATCAGACATTGTTTTCATTGACTTGATGAAATTCGTGATCATTGTCATATGTTTTTTTTCTGTCTGAGAATGTTGGCTATATTTCACAAGTTGATCAAAAGCCAGTGGAATTTGGCATTTTTGCAACATAACGTACTTGACAATACCACTGATTAAATGAGCGCACGAGTCGCCAGTCAGTTTTTTATCCAACTCAATTGGGATTTCAGTTTCAGTCTTTTTAGCTTTGTTCGACATTGTACAAAATTACTTTTTCTCACAGCCTCTGATTAACGTATCAAGTTCAAGGTTATATAGCTGCAAACGTCTCTTTTTTTTCTTTCCAGGTAACAAATACCTGGTAAACTTCACCAAAAAATGAACCTACGGCACAAAAAAAAACTGTTTTATAATATTAATATGAATTGAGTGATTATTACTTGAAATATCTAACCGATGAAAAGGTTAATTAACGTACTTTTTCAACTTTTCCACCTTAACAAAACTTTCAAAGTGCTGACCTGACAAAATCACAACAGTAAAAAAAAAAAGAGAAAAAATCGATTATCGATTTATCGAATTACTTCTGCAATTACGCCAACATAACCTTTTAGTACTTACATACGAGTCGAGCAGTCGAGGTATGACGTATGACACTTTTTGTTCCGGTACATGTTTGTATACAATCGCGGTTGACATTTCCCGTGCGCGACTTTTACTTCAGTAGGCCTCAGTAGAATGTTCGTTGGGGAACTAAATTTTTGGACCTTCGACAATGACGTTGAGATCAAGGATACGGATTTCGGTGCCTTCAGGTGAGGATTTTCACACAGCGTATTATTAAAATTCCAACGTAATATGCCTCTCATAATTACGGAGTAGCTGAGAAGAAAGTACTGTTACAGCAAGCAATTTCAATGATGAAGAATTTTTCCCACACTATTACTATCAGTTGTTTTTATTTTAAATATAAATTTTTATGCAGAGATGAAAATTGTTAAAAATATTGTTGAGGTGTAGCATGTTTTTTTTACGCGTTGGTTTTATTTTATGCTTACAGTTATCATGATAAAAAAATTGACAGTGTATATGAGGAAGGTAAAAGATCTTATGCTCAGAAACGAGGGATGGTCTATGTTCCACAGAATAAAAAAGGAAATAAACTCAAAGATTCTATTAAGTACTTGGAGGTAATGTTAATAATAATGATGTAAATTTAATAATAAATAATTAAAGAATATTGGTAACACTCATGATTTCAACTTAATTCAAGGAACAACTAAGCGATTATTCAACAATACATTGTCAGTGGGTTGATTATTGTGCAATACAGATTATGCTTAGCTCTGGTTTACTGATTTATATACAAGTAAATCTTTGTTCGGGAGATATTAAAAAAATTATATTTGACAAGTTTTTAGTTGGTAAATTGTCTGATCGTTTATCCGATGGTAAATTTACGTTCTTTTCCATTTACCTGATTTTTTCAACCATCTAATTGAGAAATATTTTCCAGTAATCATCACAAAAAATTATTTAGTTTGTACATACAATGATACTCAAGTCACATTGGTAAACTTTATGAAAACGAAAAAAAGTATTTTTGATAAGATTAGTAGATTAGATCCAAAACTGTCGACTTTTGATATTTCTGGACCTAGTGGAAAAAGACTGGAAAAAAAAATTCAACATAATCGCACAGAAGACTTGGTATGTGTAATATTTTGCTGTGTACAATTGGTTTTTACAGAAAATAAAAATACCAATTAATTGTTTATTACAAACAAAAGATCTTAATTTGGTGGAAATGTACTATAAACGAAGTTTATCCGTGGAGCCCAACAGTTAAGGAACACGATCGTGCCAATGTTCATCTATACAGGATTATAGGGTAAAAACTTAAACTTTGCAAGCTTCTATTAATTTACACTTATCTTTGAAAACATCCTCTAAACTCTTCAAATTTTTTTCTTTAGTATCATCTGAATTTTCAATTTTTTTTTCAATTTCTTTTGTTTTTTTACCTAAACCATCCTTTTTCATAGTTGATGCTATTTTTCCTAAATTAAAATACATATCATTAATTGAGCACTTGAAAAAAATGTATATAGACACAACACATCTTTCCCGTTTCATTTTACCTTTACATTTTGCTGAACACTCCAACTCGCGTTTTTTCTTATAAGCATTCCAAGCAGGTTTCTTGTTTTCAGTATACTTAGACAGCGATTCAGCCGTTTTTCTATCGATTTTCAAAGGCAGCTCCCAAGTATCCTGTCATAATTCATCAAAATCTTTAAAAATCCACCAAAACAAGAGAGTAATTTTTTTTTGTTTTAGTTTACATACTTTAAAATCGCTCCATGGATTTTTCGATCTTTTTACACTGGCAAAGAGACGCCCGTTCTTGTGCGCTATAAATTTCGTTGTAGTACAGTGCCTAGTTGGCCATTCTGGGTGCCACCTCGGCACTTCCCAGACTTGTAGTCTTGTCGACTTGAAACTGTCCTCAGCCCAGTGTGCGTGCCAAAATTGCGACATTCTACTTATTCACTTCACGATAAATTTTTCCTACCTTTTAACTTGAAACGTTGCAAGTCACTGTGTACAGCTAGTTGGAATGGCCTGTTTATTTCCATAGTTACCAGACAGCAATAAAGTATTACTTCACATTTCAGAACAAAATTAGAACTACTGTGCTACCTGAAAACGGAATTCGATCCGTTGTGCATAATATTCAACTCTAATTATGATAACGTTATTCACTCGCTAGAACAAAAAGTATCGCGAAAAGTAAGCGCTCGTTGAGTTTATTAAAACCTCAACCGTACAGTATTGGCTTTTTAACAATACTTGAACAATTATTTAGGGCGAGGTCACAGTCGAATGGAGGACTTACGAAGTTTCGCAGAATGACAAACTCCACAGGATAGCGATCCTATCCGTACCATTGCCAACTCACACGAGCTGTGTCAAATTTTCGCCCAATCAAGACATGCTTCTGTTGTGTTGCATTGATGGATCCATAACACTTCACGATCAAATCAAGGGCACCAATAATAGTATAAAAGCATCTTTTGTTAGTATGATGAAAAAACGTCGACACTGTGCCATTTAAACTTTTTTTTTAAATTAACAATAATATTATGCAAAAAATTTAGATACCCACTCTGGCATGTTGGCATGGCGATGGACACGTCTTTTCCGTAGGCAATGAAAGAGGACAAGTGCAATATTTTGATTTAGCTTTAACATGTATTAAGAGTCAAGTGTTGAATGAAGACATAGCGCCTAATAATATTATCGATCTATCGTCTTATTTTCGGTAATTATTCGATTATCGCAGAATAATAAAATTGTTTAACTTACAAATAATTAATTTTTCGATTCTAGAGCCCAACCCGCTTTAATGAAGATAGAATGGAGCCGAAAGAATGCCATCAATACTTTTATCGATTACTACAATCACGGTGACTCGCTCTTTTTGATATTTTTCGAGAGGTAATTAAAACTTTCAACAACTTTTGCGCAATTTTGTAATTGGCTGAGTTGTAATTGCGCGATTTTGCAGAGGGCCCATTGCAATATTCAAAATAATCGAGGGCGAAAATTTTGCGGGGGACGTTCTAGTACAAAGGTATTTAGCACTGTCTCAAGTCGAGCAGGCAACTTCTCTTCTTCTAGCAATGAATTGGGACACGAATCCGCACGCTTGTATGCACACTTTGAATCAAATTGTCAATTATCTTTTCAAACTACCCCTGACTCCGGAACGCGAAAGTAAGAGAGCTCTTTTTTTTCATATCATTTCATACGTGTTTATTTAACATTAACCGCCGTCGCAGCTTACATCCAAAATGCATTGGGAAGTTTTCACGTACCAGTCAAGCCATTGACTCAACTAGTCGTTGAAGAATATGGCGAAGAAGTTCGAGATCTGACCAGAAGGTTTTTTCATCACCTCCTGAGGTACGAAACGATAGCGAAATTTTCCGCGAATTTTGTCTCATCTGATTCCTTTGCACTTTGCCCATCAGACATAGACTGTTCGAGAAGGCGTTCCGATTGGCCATCGATCTAAACGATCACGATCTTTTTATGGACATTCACTTCTACGCGATTGTCTTGAAAGACACCGAAATGGCTACAGCCGCAAAAGACAAGGCCGAAGAAATCATAAGCCAATGCAACAGTACCAGCAGTTCTCGTAAGTTTCGAAAAATGTCAAATTAATAATTTTTGCCATTTTCAGCGCTAATTGTATCTTTTGTTAGACTCGACGTGTTCGCGAGACTCGTGCTCCTTGTGCTCGGACTCTGTGAGCGACAAGGACGACTCTTATACGGAGGACACGGAAAGCGAGGAGTTTCCGAAAAAAGAAAAAACGCGTCCCAAGCGCCCGCCCAAGCACAAGTACTCGAAAAATTCCAATAGCCAAGCTCCTCCTCTTCCTATTCTTTATCCACCGATTTATAGCAGCAGCGGCTTCATGAGCACGCCCTTTAACGAACTCGCAGATAAAACTGAGCCCAATTTCGCGTCCACGTCCTTCAACCTTCCAAATTACACTGTTCCCCCGACCTCCTACAGCTCAATGTCTAATTTCGTTCCCAACTCGTTGGTAACGTCGATGCCTTACGTGAACCCCGTGCCTTTTACTCCGATGATGAATCCGAATTTCGGTCAACCGATGAAAAATTTCGAAAATTTAGTGTCGCCTCTTCGAAATCTCTCTTTGGCTAATCAGTTAACGCCAAGTGTGGCACAAACATCGTTGAATAGCATGTCGTTGGAAAATATTACAAATTCATACCAGATGAGCCATTTTTTGTCCAGTACGTTTCCCAAACCACTGTTTGAACCTATCGAGGTTCCACCGAGTTTGGCACCCACTTCTGTGAACAACTCGAGCGGTAACGTGATGTCGACGTCCTTCAATGATCGTTTGAGTGTAGATGTCAGCTCACAAAACACGACCTACGTCGGTGCTGATTATGACAGTTGCGAGAAAAAGGCAACTGGATTAACGGTGCTGAAAAACGTGACCATGAGCTCACATCCGATGCAGTCGAGTACAGACGGTGCACCGACGCACAACGATTCGTCCTCACTTTCGATATTTGATTCCGGCAATAATCTCATGTCCACGTCCTTTAACGATCCAGAGGATCCCAATGAAGACACCAATTCAAATTCTTGCGACAGCAGTACTAACAGCAACACGTCCAAGCAAAAACTTTCGGCCATTAATATACCACCACCGCCGCCACCTTTGATAACGGATTCTTTAGCTAATTATATTCATAGTTTGCCAAAGAAAAATTTCATGCTGTCCAGAAGCACTCCCGGATTATCGGACATGGACAACAGTCCCGTTTTAAAACTTCAACATGTCAAACCACTGCACACCACTTCTCCCAGTTTGTTACAACAACAAAATTCTGTTTCAAATATATTGAAAAATCATCAGGGGAACAATAATTTTCAATCTACTTGTAAATACAGATTGGATTACGATCTCGATTACATTCCTTTCAGTAGCAGTTGTGATAATTTGATTAGCTCTCATTCCTCTACTAATCACAATAAATCAAGTAGTTACAATATACCATCAAAGACTTTAGATGATAAACCTTTCAAATTAGGATTTTCATCAAGTGGTACAAATATTAATACTAGTAGAGAACATAGACTGTCTTCCAATATACCACCGTTACCCGTCATTTGTACATCCTCTGTAGCTGAAAAAACCTCATCCTTGTCTTTTACGTCTACAGATGTAGCATCTACAATCGCAGAAAAACCAAAAGTAAAATTTTCGGATACTGTAACGCACATTTTGGTGCCCAACACAGTAAGCATAATGCCTTTTATATCGAGTCACTTGTAAAATTTTCTAACATTAGAATACAATTTTTTTTAGAATCAAATATACCGTCCAATCCAGAAAAGAGCTCAAACGTATCCTACAGACACAAAACCAGAATCAGAAAGTTCATCACTTGGTTTGAGTAGTGAAAATTACCATAAAGATTTACCATCCACTTCCAGTAAGTGTATTATAATTGTAATAAAAAGTATTTAAGGTTTTGTATACTTGTATTAAATATTTCAACTTATATTTTTAGATATCGATATCATAAAACATACTTTGAAAACAGAAGATACTGCCAAAATCAAAGTCGTACACTTTGGTCCTTTATAGTATTTAAATAAATCAAACAGAGTTATTGTTATATAATAAGAAAGTATTATTGTAAGACTTTCCTCATATTTTTATACACAGATATATTGTACATAACATTTTATATACTTTTACAAAATCAAATTAAAGTTTTATATTGTATAAAAAAAAACTGCGAAAATCACTTTTTCTTGAAAACAAGTCTTTTCTTTTTTGGCGGTTTTCCAACAGACGCCAATTCCTCTTGCATGTCTAACAATCTCTTATCAGGTATATACCTGGCATTTTCGTGTTCTTCTGTGTGCTCAAAAATATCAAACAGGGTACCTTCGGGCAAGCCTGCCTCGCATATTCTAATGAAAATCGGCAAACCAACAGAAGTTACATTTGACATTTTAATGTTTCTCTGATAAAGTTTTAAAGTATATTCCACTTCCACCACTGTTGATTTGGGCTTGTACCTGATAATCTTATACTCTTTGTGAGGAAAAGCGTAACTAAAAAAAAATAATAATAGTTGTGAAAACGAAAGATTTTTGTTATTCAAACTAACTGAAAACAACATACCACTCTTCGACATCAAAATCCATTGCTTCAGCAATCTTGTGAACCCAACTTTGAAAATTTTCTAAAATTGCATAATCGTAGCCTCTGATTTGTACATTTAAAAGTGGATAAAGAGGATACTTTGGTTTTAGTGCCTGCAAAATAGTATAACCGAGTCAAAGTCTGATGGCAATGCATATCAATACAGATTTACTGAACATCGTAAAGCGTAACCTCCAAATAGGGCGGCTCGTAAATACTGTAAAATCTCGGCAATATTTTTGACAAATTGCACGGGCGAGCCAATGGTATGAGCTGAAAATAAAATTCATATGTAAATGTAAAAAAATATCTTGCCAACGCTCTAACCGAGAGTTAACAAGTTGAAATGATCATGTTTCAAAAGACGCAAGATTGCGTACACTTATTTAAAAAAAACGAACTTACACTTTTTAAAAAGTTTACTGCCATATTTATTTGTGGCGGATTTGTTTTACGATGGATATTTTAATTAATCAATTCATGATTCAATATTTATTTACACGGCTATGGACCCGACACAATGTTATTGTTTAGTATATATCTGCAGCAGAACTAGCAGAAGCCATGCGACGACGAGACCTCTGCTTTCACTTGTGGAACTATTTTTAAACTTCAAAAACATTTAAAAATCACTAACACCGTTGTGAAATTTTATTGTCTCTTGTGTGCCATCACCACTACCATACCTCAAGAGGTAACCCTTGGCTCTTCGGTGTTAATACAATACCGTGCCGTTCGCAGTCAGTACCAAAATGGTACCAAAATTTCAACAATTTATCTTTGTTTCGGACAATCCATATACATATATTCCAACGGTGACGCTAGTATTGCATAGAATGACCCTTGCTTCCCAGCAGAGTACCGGATTTGGCGCCGCAAAATGCGAGTCCTGCAATAGATAAAACGATAAAACTATATTATAAATCATAAAATTAATGTAATTAGAATATTAGTATACATTATAATTTACATAAAGATTTACAAGAACATACGTAATCAAAGTTTTTTTTTTTTTTTATTATCTTGATTGGTATAATACTGTAATGTTTGAATAATAGAGATTGGTTGATAATGACGGCGCAAGTTGTACACAATCCATGGGTTCGGATGAAAATTTTGTCCTTTTACTTTTATAAAGTGACAGCGTTGCTCCGGAAGATTTCGTGTACTATAAAAAGGTGAGCGTTTTGTAAATGTATTACAAATAAGGGCCCTCAGCATTTTGAGATTCCAATGGCAGATTGTTTTGGCTTCCCGCTAAAACAAACTGCGAATACTATACTTACCAAGTGACGTGAGCATAACAATCCGGTTATCGGATTCGTGCGAATTTCAGTTATTGTGACCAAGAAACGGAGGCATGAGCTTTAGTTATACGAGAGATCGGGTTAACAAACGAAATTTGGATGATCATTTACATTTTTTCACTTTTATTGTCATGATTATAAAAAAAAGCGTACATATATGTACCCTTGGCCCTTCAAGTAAGAAAAGCATAGCTCATTTGACATTCAGAGTAAACTTTATTTTTGGGAAAAAGAAAAACCTACAAGCGCACGTTCGACACTATATCAAACTGTATGGAGCTCCTCCGCAATAGTAGCAGTGAGAGTGATCCGCATAACGGAGAGTATCGACGCGGTCGTCTTGAGCAGCTGTACGATGGTGTTACGGGTGACGGCGAAGAACTTGCCGGCCGTGATGCGCAGAGGTAAGCGAGCTCGCATTATCACGAAGCCGATGTCTTTTTTGGTCACTGGATCGGCGTCGTACCACCCGAACGAGTACACCGCCTGGACGATGTTTTCGCTCTGCTCCATCAGATCGTCGCTCGCGTACCCGTAGATGAAACTCTCGGTTATCATGAACAAGATGCAGTTGACGCTCACCAACACCGTCGCGTAGTCGCTTCCCTGCAGCGCCACGAGAACGCTGAAACCTTTTATATGGTATACTGCGTTTTAAAATTTCTTACTTACAAAATGTTTTAATTCCTGAAAAATTCGTTGAAAAAATATCAGACATGTACTGTCAGGGGAAAGAATAAATGTGAAAAATTCACGACTCAATGTTTTTATATATAATTCGAGTTGTAAGATTAAAAGTAAACTCATGTATACACCTGTGAGAGAGCAATGTCTACCAATTGTTCGATCGGACAAAAAATCGAGAGTCCCGACATTCGCCAACATACTCCAAAAGTGATTCAACGTACATGTGTATGTACAAGATGTCATAGCCCCGTAATATTTGGAGATAAGTCTCGGATCCTCACCGCTCATGCAGATCAGCACGATACTGGTCAACAGCTGGACAACGACGATACCGTTAAAGCTCATCTCCAACTTGTCCCCCACGTCCAGGAGTCGTCTGTGCCTCTCGATGAGCTCGACCACCCGTCCCCTGCGACCGGGTCCATCCAACAAGCGCACGGCATCCGCGTCGCTCCACCTCTTCCTCAGTATCTCCAGCTGTCCGCACAAGTGAAACACCATCGCCAGGAAGAAGCAATCGGTTCCTGCCCCGCTGGTGCTCACGCACATGCTCTGCAGGTACTGGATCGTCATTATCAGCACGTAATACTTGGCTACCGATTCCTTGGACAGGTACGACGCTTGGCAGACCAGTGCCAACTCGACGTCTTCATCCGTACTCTGGCGCTGCCTCATCGCGTTCAGTACTACGGTACGCAGGAAAAATAAGGTCGTCCCGACGTAACCCACCGAGTAGTACACGAGAAATTGGTACCTGTACATCTTTTTTTTTTTTTTTTTTAAATATATATACAAATATGTACCTTACTCCTTTCTCTCTTCTTTTACGAGTTGTACCGGCTTACCCTCACTCGGGACCTCATGATCTTCAGAAAGCCCTCGTTCTTGGTGTCCGTCCAGTCGTTTAGGTACGACTTGAGGGTCACGGCCAGCTTATCCCCGTGGAGGTGCATGAACATGTGCTTGACGAGGGCGACAAACGCCGAGGAGCAGAATACGAGGAGGTCGGCCATCCCGGAGATCGGCGCTTCGCTGAGGTACATCTCCGCGAGCGTGTGCGCGAATAAACTGGCCTGTGCATCATCATATTTTTCTTTTGCCATTTTCCAAGATCTCGGATTATAACCATCGTATATATATATACAGGTGTGGATGAAAAGTTACCATTGCCAGGGCGGCCGTGAAGTAGCGAAGGGTCTGCAGCGGGTTTTTTTCCTCCAGTGGCCATACACCGACGAGCCTCAGCCAACGGCGGTAGAACGTAAAGGCACCGTCGCCCTCCATCCTACTACTCCAAGGAAGCGCAACGCGAGATCGGTGTGTATCTTTCCGTCCGACATTGCTGGCTTTTCGCGACGCTGTTTGGCGTAATAGCCGCATACAGCCGCGAGACATGAAATATTAGCGAGGGCCATTAAACGTACAGCCCTTTCTTTGCGAGCGCCATGACTTTTAATGATTGTATCAGCCATCGATGCTCGCACCGCTATATATTGTAATGCGTTACGGAAATACACCGCAGCCGAGGGTAGGATGACGTAATGTTGAAAAATATTTTATGGCCCGCGCATATGCACACGCGGGAAATGAGTAGAATCGTCGATAGCGCGCCGTATAATGCCTGTACTTATTTACCAAATAATGGATGAAGATGGTTTTAATGTTTCATCCCTGCAGCTCATCGTGCGGTACGGCATGTCGTATAGGCGCAAGATGTTGGGGGAACTTGACGTAAAAACTGTTTCTCCTTGTATAACTAAATGGACACGATATTTTTTTTTTTTTTTTCAAGGTAATAATTATATACCTTACCTTTTTTTGAAAATGCAAGACATAGTCGACATTGTATTTTACGCAATTGAATTTCGGTTGTATTATATCCATAGGTTTCAAGGTGTCTGATTTTGTATCATGAATTTGTCATCAACTCCATTAGTTCATTTCCACCTGGAAGCCTAAAAGGCGTCCTCGTGAAATAGTAGCCGAAATATCTTCTGAAATTAAGAGTAAGTAATTAATTACATACATTTTTTTACGAGAGAAAGAAAAAAAGTGTGCTTACACATAAATCATATATTTTTTTTATAACACAATGTATACAGGTCCTATACGACATGACGTGTGAAATCAACTCTGTTCAAGTTTTCAGACTAGCTCGAGTTATTTTTATCTACAAGTAAGCTCAAACTTCGTAAATAACTTTGTTGTCGTAGTGGACAGTAGCATTTAACGACCAAAATGATTTCATCGCAGGGAAAAAAATTTCGAGTTATTTTGTTGTACCTACTGTTCTATGGAGGTTATTTGCAGATTGTATTCCATAGAAATTTTTTATATACATTCGAAATACAATTTATTTTTGTGCTGTATTTATATTACTTTTTTTTGTTCTTTAAAACCAAGAAAAAAATCAACCATAATTTAAAAAAATTTTCCTGAAAATTGTTTTATAGAATTAGATTCTTTTTACCTGTGCTTCAAGTATCCTTTGCTATAATGATAAACGTAATCTTGTCATAAATGGAAAAACGTAACTGTAACTGTCGTTCATTGGATAAACGTTTTTTTTTTCTTTTCGACGTGCTAAATTTTGGATCACGTAGATAAAATAAGCTCGAACAATAACATCTTGATCTTCAAAATTGACTAAAAACAGCATGGGTGTTCGTTTTCGTAAACTAAATTCTGTATACCTTATCCATCTATTTGACGTACACATAAACGTAGACTAAAAACTGTTACAAAAAACTTGTCAGTTTTCAATTAATGAAAAAAAAAAAAAAAAAAAAAAAATTTTTTTCAAACAATCCCAAAAAGTATTTTTTCAAACAACGAAGAACAAAGATCACGTACACAACGAGCTCCCTGCACGCAATAGTAACTTTCACTATTTACGGTTCTCCGGGACTATACGACACAAATCCACGCGATCGAGGTCTCGTAGCGCATTATTTCCGTCCTAATCGATCAGTGCAAAAAAAAAAAGAAAAAAGAAAAACGAGCGCGCCACGTAACCCTATGCTTATAATGTTTCCTTGCAACTTTTCCCTTTCCCACGAAAGTTTCACCTCGTTTCTCCTTGTAAGAAAAGTTGCACGGGTACACACGCATCGCTTATGCGCATTCGCGATGCGATACCGATATAATAGCATATACCCCTACTCGGCGCAAAACGAAAATGAAGGGGTTGATGCACAAACGCGCGATGAATAAGAAATACCACGCAGTGCGCGTAAAGTGTACCCCGGAAAAATATACAAATATACGTGTCCCTCTGACGCTCCAGTACAGGACCGAAACTTCTCCTCGTCTGTACTGTGTGTATATTCTGCGAAACGATCGGCCCCGAGCCATTGTCGTGAAAAAAAAAAAAAAAAAAAAAAAAAAAAAGCATAATTATGCACGAACGAAAATGGAACCGGGACGCAAAGTTCGCCCTGGAGTTCAGTAAATTCTGCGTCTGGCCGATCGGTCTGTGGCCACTTGACTCCGAAACCCTGTCCTCGCGAATCCGTGCCCTCTACTCCTTTACGACGCAGGTGACGAACGATGTGCAGGACAAATATGCACAGGTTTTCGTGCTGTCTAAATAAACGATAATAATTCACATCGACAGATATGGATGATCGGCGCCCAGTCGGCGGCTGCTTACTTGAACTGCGGCAGCGAGGAGGACAACGTCGACTACGTAATGATGGCGGTGTGCGCGGTCATGGCGTTGTCGAAGATCGTCGCTTTCAGGCTGCACTCGAGAGAGATGCGCTTCGTTTTGGCTTCGGTGGAGGACGATCTGCTGGCGGTTACCGAAGACGATACTCGCCGAGTCGTGAGGCCGTTCGTCAAAAAGGGACGGACGGTGTTTTACATACAGATGATCTTCAGCTACATGACGAGCGCGATCATCGTGATCAGTGCCCTGCCGATTTTCATGCCTCCCGCCGATCCGGTGAACGGGTTTGTTCATTTTTGTCGATAAATTGTGTGTTTAATTGCACTGGCCTCTACAACATTTTTTTGTTGATTGTTGAAGTCGACAACTCGATGGAGAGTCGCTCCTGTGGGAATTATTTGTTTGTTGAATCATGAAAATTCAGTTAGTTAAATCAAATGAGTCGATTGTAATCTCACAAACTTGTAGGTTTGTAAATTAACAATTCATTTGTACGAAATCATCAAAGATCGTTAAAAAATCGATCTAAATATTATCTTTATGGTTTTATCGATATTTTTCTCAATTGACAAATACAATGCTACAATGCGTAAAAACAGTAAAATTATATCACCAAGAATTTTTTAGGAAGCTGACCAAGAATCTAAATCCCAATGTACTCGATCACGTAACAACTATATTTATCTGAACGTTTTTCTTTTGTACATATATATATATATAGTTGAACGATTCGGATATATAATGTCAGGATCGTTGGGAGCGAGCGAGTATGAAAAAGGACAGAGCGTGTATCGAGCTCTACATAGCGAGGAGCCGTGTATGAAGCGTATTTATATATATATATATATATAGTTGACGGTTGTGCGAGGGATCGGATATATAATGTCAGGATCGTTGGGAGCGAGCGAGTATGAAAAAGGACAGCGCGCCAATCGAAGAAGCGNGATCACGTAACAACTATATTTATCTGAACGTTTTTCTTTTGTACATATATATATATATAGTTGAACGATTTCGAGTCCATGTTTCTGTTCAGCAGCCCAAAAAAAAAACTCTTACCAACACTTAACGATCACGTTTTATTGATAAATAGGAACAATACACTGGACTCAACGCCACTGAGACAGTTGCCACTGCAAACCGGTTGCATGTTCGCCGGTTTCAGGGACGGAATTTACGCTTCCATGTACGTGTACGAGATCACCGTGATCTTGGTGGCTCAGCATGGCAACGTGGGCTCGGACGTTTTTATCTTCGCCCTGGCAATGCACCTGTGCAGCCAAATCGAGTTGCTGAAAATCAAATTGGCAAAAATCGGCACGATTTCCGAGGAACCGCTCGATGATTGGCGTCCCCGCATCGTTGGATACATTCAAAGACACGTGGGGATATTGAAACTGATTCGGACTTTCAACGAATCGCTCTCCACGATGCTCGCGATTCAGATAATTCTTAACGCTGGGATGAATCTCATGCTGGGTATGTATACGTGATTCGGTAAGAGAGTGAATCTTTTGGTTTTAAATACATGATATCGATTGGTCAGGTCTTCGTGTAATAATGGCCATAAAGAGCGGCGTCTTAGAAGATGCAGTCAGGCCGATTTTTGCTTTCATCGTGCTGATGCTTCAGTTGTACCTGATGTGCTATGCGGGCGATCGTATTTCGCATCAGGCGAAATCCATTTTGGATGCAATTTACGATAGTTATTGGTTCAAACTACCGACGAAACTTCGCCAGGACTTGTACTACGTGGCCATGAGAGCTAACAAACCTGTTTATCTGATGGCTGGTAACCTGATGGCTATAAATCTCGAAAATTTCAAAAGAGTGCTCAAAGCGTCTTTCTCGTACTTTTCAATACTTCAAATGATGTTTGAGGCTGAGTAAGTATGTACGTATTATGTTGAATTGATACGATTTCATTACAATAAAAGATAGAATTTAATAGTTTGTACAATGAGTGAACTTACACTGTACAATTGTTGTTCAACTTTTTCTTTATTTTAAGTAATATTAAAAGTATTTCCTCTTCAAAATCAAATTTTTTATTTCATGTCGTTCACCTCCTCAACTCGTTCAGATGAATGAATCCTTTTTCTACTCCTGCAATTCATGTGATGATTTAAAATCTGTGTCATTTCAATTTGTTTTTTTATCATAAAGTAAATCATAAAGAACTACCACTTTAAAATTAAAGGAAAAAAAAAATGCCTTTGAGTTCGCACTTTTTTTTTTTACCAAGGATTGTAGCCGTAAATTGATACTTGCTTACATTATAATGCTTGCTTCTCAATCTGACTCAAGTATGAATTATTTCTTAGAAACATTATATATCTTTGTAACAAATTTTGGTCAACTTTTTTTTTAAATCTTGTAGCGCATTGATAAATACACATCTATACAGCTTAGAAATTCAGACTAGCACTCACTCATTAAAATCATAAGTATTGATATAATAAAGAAAATCGATGTTGAATCGTCAAATATCAAAAATTACTTTGCAAAAGGTAAGTGCTCGATCAATGGTTACATCGAGCTCCGCTTGACCACCGTTCGATGACTAAAAAAATATCGTTATATCGCGGTGAAATACCGCATGTCGACGAAGCGCATCTGACGCTGCTGCGCCGCTCTTTTTGACGATCGTTTGTTCCGTTACTAATGCATAGTTTTTCAACTTATTCTAATGTTAATTTGCAAAGAACTAAAAGGTAACATGTTTCTTTCATAGAAACGAATACCATACCAATAACTATCAAAAAAGGAAGAAACTATACGAGTTAACATTATTGAAAAATCGCAATGAATATACAGTACCGATCTTTGGAAGTGAGCAAAATTACAAATTGCAATTTTTGGACGAGTAAGTATTAATAATACTTATATGGGAACGTGTTGTTACAGACAAGTATAATATATTTTACCGACGTGCTTACAATTCTTCCACCCAAACACTCGACCCTAACTGGCCTAACTCCGCAACTCGATACTTTAGTACTTAAAGGTAAGTATATATACCTACGTTAAAATACACGCATTTGAGTAGTGCTCAGCTGGTAACGCGTCTAACGTTATATTCAATGTGCTCTGTAGGTGGAGAAATATCGAGGATCGGCCCGCAGGTGAGCGTTAAGCGAAAGCTATACACATCAGTGGAGGTTGCCGAGCGTCCACGCGCGAATCCAATACGTACATAATCTGATCGCAACAATAAAAAATATACCTACATATTATACACTCACCTATCAATAGTAAATCGGAGTTGTCGCGGAGCCAATCACCCGATCGGAGCCATAGTTGGTCCTGTGTTTTATACCGCGATACCGTGTGTTACACATTTGAACTCCAAAATCGTCGTGCAAGTGCATTGTTAAACAATATGGCCAGTGCCACAGCAACAATACCGAGCTCCACTATCGACGTACAACAGTTTAAAGTCATCCATTCGAGTTCTACTCACCATCAAGAGTTCCAACTCCAAGGGTGCAACGTCCTCCTCGGTTACAACAACCTCTTCTGCTAGTCCCTTTTTCCCGTTGGTAAATACATATATATAGGTAAGTGCCATCATAAACTTTGTTACGTTATATATTTTTCGTACCTGATGTGTCAAGTCACACCGGTACATTGGTCGGTCGCTCCATCCACTTTTCTCCCTCCGAGGGGTACATTCCGTCAGTTTTGTTTAAATCAACTTTCTCGGATGGCTGAATTTATTTGCACGCGCAACAGGCTGCAGTTTAATTCGCGAGGGTTAGGTTTTTATTCGCATGCGTTGGGAGCAGACGCCAAATGCATCGGAGAGAAATCGAATGCATATACATATATATTCGGAGAACGATCCCATACATGTCAAAATCTTTGGAAAATCACGAACTAGAGGGAAAGCTTTGAATATGTTTTTACGTGGCACGTCCTTTAGCCTTTGATCCGACCGATTTGGTTTAACCTGCGCCGCCACACGCAATCTCAACTTTATACTGAAATAAAAATACAAACCGGAAAATTATACATAAATTTTCTTTTTTCTCTCGTTATAAAAGTCAGATTAAAATAAAAGTTTATTACTTACCTACTGACTCAGAAATGTTGATTGCACCACAAGTTACGGGCGGTTCAAAGTGGTTTGGAAGTAAATCAGAGGATTACAAAATATCATGAAACTTTGACAATTGGATAAGAGCACAATACGTATAATTATGCTGTCCCATAAACTTTCAGATAAGGTGAATGGACAAAATCACGAGAAAAGTACAAGTCTAGTTTTTAACGGTCTTTTGTGAAAAGTAGCAAATTAACCAAGTTTTTACGTCCAAAACAAAAATACTGAGAAATCGTAGACAGTCGCCAATTAATCATCATATATATGAAATTTCACTGTTTGCCTTCTTATTGTTATACATAGTGATTTATAGAGACTGTCAATTGTCAATTCTTTGTTTTTCAGGGGGCCATTCATTTTTACACGTAATAACTTTAATAATTTTTTTTCTCCATTAATTATTGAAATCTGAAAATTTATAATGCAGGCAGAACAAGTTCGACCCATGCACTTTGAGGCTACGTTTATGAGTAAACGTACTATAACAATATTTTAGTTAAAACCTACTCTAAAATACTAGATATTTTCATTTTTCAAAAAGATTTCGTTCATCTTCAATAAACTATTACCTAGTTAGATAAAAATCCGTCGTTGTACAGTATTGACCTGTTGTCAATCATTTTTTTTTTTTTTTTTTTTTTTTTTTTGTTTACTACAATTCCAATCCTTTGGAGCACTTAAAAATATTATGCTTTTGGAGCGGAGGTATATTGTAACTTCATTTTGATAAATGTAAAAACTGAAGGAGTAAAAAATCACAATATTTGTAATGACGCTACATATTTATTTCGAAATTTTGGTTCATTTGAATTGATAGTTTTTCGGGGATTTTTGCATATACCCTAGACTCTAGAGGACGAGCTATTCCATACCCATACAAGTATACACACCGAGCCCTGCACCGAGAGAAAGCGAGAGCGCACATCACTCCACGATCCCGCGGAGCAACAGGTTTTTTTTTCTCGGTTTATACGTGGTAAACACATCCTGATAACGTCTCCTTGCAACGCTGCCAATATATATATTACACTGTACTTGCGTAAAAAATACGCGGACAATCAAGCCCAACAGTCTTACACTATGCTATTTTTTATTTTTAAGCTTGAAATTTAAACCTGAGCTTCGGCGTTCCTTCAAACGAAGGTTATTCAGATTTTTTGTGCGCATTGAACATGTGTGGCATTTTTTTCTTCTCGTTTAAAGATACCGAAGTTACAACTGCATTTTATTAAATCTCGACCAGTTACGTCCGTTATAACATAATCGATGTTATCCTTGAATCGCGAAATAGATACATATTCATCAAGTTCTTGAAAACGCAAACATCAACCAAGCGGTATATAATAAGTTGAATAATACAAGAGAAAAAAAAAAAAAAAAAAGATGTAATCCTTGTTTTGCAATGAGAGAACTGCATTTGTATTTTATCTCATCGAAAATGCAGATCGACCGACGCGTGCAGCGATCATTAGGTTTACGAGCTCAAATTTTATTCGATTTGTGCCTCGTACTCACCTTCTTCGTCACAATATAAATCACCGAGTACCGATCGTCTATTCTAATGAATTTCCTCCTACCAGTTAATATACCTTACTGTACGACACCGTAATTTTTTTTTTTTCTCGATCCAGCTTATATTATCTACTTCGGTGACTTGCAGTTCTCCGACTCTAATTTTTTTTTTTTTTTTTTCCTGACCATCCGAATAATTTATTTGATTGGCATAATTACCTTTGGAATACGTAATATAGGCTAATTTTAAAAATAACAAACACAATAGCGTAGGTATACATACATTATTCTTTGGCGAAACATTTTGCGATTCGCAACTTTGTTCCGTACAACAATGATTGATTGAAAATTTAAGCTCTTGAACGAACCTGCAATTTTCTTGACTTGAAAATCTCACAGAAGATAAAAAAAAGTAATTATAATATACATACTTTTTTGACAGTTGAGTGATGGGCAAAGTGGTTACTTACATACAATATATAGGCTTGTATTTCACGCACACTGTTAAAAATTAAAGTTACAGCTTGGTAACGACAAAAATTTTCCCCCGAATCATCGGCTCGTGCGATGTACAAAATACCACACCTTGTAGACGACTTAGTAGATGTAAAAGGGTGACACGATGGTTCTAGCGTCTCCTGTCCTCGAATTTTTTCTCAAACGGATGTACGAGAAAGCGTTTCCGTTATTTTTCCTCCGAACCAATTACGCCTATATTTATATCATAGGTATACACTCCTAAACCTATATCGAGTGTTTCTTCCATTGAATTTCAATGGTAGATGTAGGTATATAAAGCACTATAAACATGAGAAATAAATATTTAAAAAGCGAGTTTGACGCTAGTCATGAGAAATCGCTAAATTTTTTATGGTAAAAATTTATTGAAAAAAAGTACAAAATACAACATTGTAAAGTTGCATGTGGCAAGAAGGACGGCGCCGCTCTCGAAGATAAGCTGTAATAATAAGCATGACTCGGCCCACCTTGTAAAGTTACAAACGTTCACCTGCAAGATGATAAATACTTTATTTTCACAACGTGATAACGAAGAATGTAATATGATTGGTTTTGCGCGTCCTCGGCGAAAAATAATTTTCTTGCTTTGCTATACTCAACTGTTATCAAAAGTGACGTTCGTCCTAAAAGAGGAAAAACACAAGCTGCTTGTATATGGTTTTCACGCACTTTTTCCGAATATTATAAACTTTATAGCCTATCATGTGTAATTTATAACATAAACTCCTTCAATATAAAATTGAACCACAACAAATATTTTTCAATTCACGAGATATAACTATCCAGTACAGTGTATCTATATACGCAAGAGAATGTCTTGAACGCAGTCGAGTACACCTATATTTTGTGTGTATTATCACGCATGCATAATTACATGTATTCGCACAAGCGTAGCTGGTAAATAATAAGTAAGTACAGTACGTGCGGGGAAAGTCGTTTCTCATTTAGAAGTGCAAATTGCGTAAAAAAGTATATGCATACCTACAGCTACTCACTCGAGTATAGAGATGTGCAACAGATACGTCCATAGAGAAGATTCTGTTTTTTTTTGTTTTTTTTTTTTTTTACTTTTTTTCCCATTTTATATTGATATTTAATACAAAAAAAAAAGCACAGTATTTTATTTGCTGGAAATTTTTTTGCCTCGTCTACATGTGTTATACTTACAAGTATCTACAGATACTGTTGTGGTGATAGAAAAAGAAAGTGATGAAAAATTTTTCGACTAAATAATTTTAATAATTTTCAAATAAAATCGATGCGACATCGTTTACAGGGTACATAAAAAATATGCTCTACCAAATCAAAATGAAAATCAAAGAAAAAACTTTAAATGAATTTTTTTTCTGTTTGTTACTCTCACGACAATTTTTTTTTTTTTTTCCATTTACCGCGAACTGTTCGTTATGTTAGTTTAGTAAGCAACCGTATATTCTTACACTGTCGTTTTTCCAATATTTTTCTCGGACTTTTTGCGCGGGGCAAGGGACAACCCGGAACGACGCTGAAGCAATATTTCGCCGGGGAATCCCACTTTAAACTCAAGCCGGTTGTCAAAGACCGGTACTTTTTCTTCCCCATGGAAAACAGCTGAGAAAAAAATAACATCCAAGTGTGTTATGCAAAACTAATACCGTTTTGCATCAATTGGATCCTAAAAACAAACTTGAACGATTATTTAAAAATATTGCTTACCAAAGTCATGAAATAGGCCATTTTTTCAATTATATTGTGATGTAAATCATTTAAGCGAGATTTTCAAAAAGGGAATTTACATAAACTCGACTTGTTGGTGTACAAATGTAACATAACTGCATGAATTAAGGGCACTTTTTATCCTTCGAATCATTTTTAAACCTGACGAGTTTGGTGGATATAGCCGTTTCGAATATTGTATTGTCCTACGTCACACACCGCATGCATGTTGACAAATCGTTATACGTGAGATTGAACTCTTAGATTGTTCGAGCGAATAAAATTGAAGAATTGGAAGTGTGACATCAGATTAACTGCTATACGAGTACGTATATACACTGCTGACGAGATATGTATTCGTCATAAAACTATAGCTCTCTGTAATAATGTAGATATAATCGAGAATACCGTTTTAGCATGAAGATTTTTATATATTGCTCTTTAGGGTCCATAGTATATAATATAACATGTCACTGATGACTTTACAGATGTAGTAATTTTGCTCCGAACGTAAAATTATCAATTATCTTGAATGAATAGTAAAGTAACAAAGTGATTTCGAGTTTGAAATTTTATTTTTTCATTTACGTCTTGAATCGTTTGTCATTAAGTGCATATCTGTATGTATATTATCGAAGACAGGGCACATACATTCTTAATTAACATCCATATAACTCGGGAATTCCGAGGGGCATACTCGAGCCCGACCGTTATTATATTTTATTTTTCCTTTTTTCCAACATTAAGTATTGATTGTGAGGAAACGCCTATAGACACATACATATTTCAACGCGCCTGGAAATCCACACGCGCACGCCTCCGTAGTCCACGTTTTTCGTTCAAACACTGCATTTGTAACAAAATGATCTGAACTTCATACCACAAATGATGTTGTTTACAATTTTCCTCGCCATGGTAAAACTTTACCTTTATACCCTCGATCGATAGACCATATAGATGTGAATAATGGAGCAATTGCTTGAAAACACACATAACTCTTTTCGAGTCGTTTGGTATTAGGTATAATAACAATAATTGAAATTAACCGCAGTCCAAAAAATAAGTATACCCACAACAGCCTGCACGCACATATGGTTCATAAGTTCCAATAAACGACCGCGAGCTTGGGAATGAAACTGATAATATACACCGTCGCGGTATGGATGAGTCAGGAAGTGAAATCGCGGGTGTAAGACCTTGACCACGAGCGTGAGCGTATATAGGTACATACAGGTACAAAGTACAGCAACGCGCGTGCATTGCGAGCTCGAGGTTTCATTGGGTTGGGGGGGTGATGCCAATGAAAAATTAAAAAAAAAAAAAAAGGCGATATGGACAAACAGTCGAAAAAGAAAAGAAGAAAAAAGGTAGAAATTGTTCCTTTGAAAATGTATAGGGTGCACAGTATAACCACGTAACAATAAAGGACAACATTTACCTCATCCCCATCAGGACTGACACCCCGTGTATATTCTAGAACAAACAGAGGAATGTGTGTAGTTACTTATAATACTTCATCAATCCCGCGTCGCAGTCGTGTAGTTTTTACACAATATATGCACCCACTCGTGTGAAAATATAAGTATTTAAGTTTTTCGACCTTAAACTTGTCCACTATACGTTACCTCCGTACATCGTGTAACGCGCTGGGGGGGCGTCGAAACTTCAAGACGCTTTTTTTCGAGAAACGATTAAACTTATCATGTGTATATATATCCACGTAAAGCAGTGCACGTGTACAGGTACGTATAAGTATATATGTGTGTATGTTCTATCGACGCCTTTTCTCTCTTGGAAGGACAGGTTCGCGCCGTCCTGAAACATTAATGCCACCGGCGAAACTTTGACCGGCTAGGCGCTCCGTAACGAAGGCTTTTCGCGTAAGCGATCGAACAATCATTTCCTCATGTTGGCCATTATTGGCTTTTAGGTGAAATTTTTTATTTTTTGTTTTACAATTATGTAAGCATCATCAGTGTGCGATTTGGTTGGGACTGGGATTCTTTGAAGGTCGGGCGCGCTTTTTTTGCACGGGACAAAAAAAATCGAGAATTTATCGATACCAACATTTTCCGTACACCCATATACACGTCTATAAGAGCCGGAAGTTTCACTAAAACGTCCTTGGGGGGAAAAGTTTCGCGGGACACGCAAAAGACTCGTCTCAAATTACCTTCAATTATATACATCCGTAACTTTTTACAAGTTTGCGCGCGTGTGTATATGTTTAGCAATTTAAAATAATACCTCGTCCCTTTTAAATTCGCGAGGACATCACTTTGTACAATACGTATCATCATCTACCCGAGCTAATACTTTTTTTTTTTTTTTTTTTTTTTTCTTTTACTTTTAGTTGTTTTAACGGCGGGTTTGGCCATTTTGTGTGTTGATGGGTTGGTGGCAATGCCATAGGTCATCCTTTTGTCATTTTAATGGGTTTACATACAAGTATGAAAAAATGGCTTAAATGTCCGGCTTAAAGGTAATCGAGAGTCGTATAAAAAGAGTATACATCCCTTCTAATCCACTATGGTCAAATACCGGAAAGCGACCGAACCACGAGATTGGGAGTGGCCGATGAAAATGGATTGTTTATGTATTGAAACTTAAAATCGTTACCCGCAGTTATCGAGAAAATCGTTCGCCAGCCTGTTCGACGTCACGTAAACAATTCGAGAACGATTTTACAATCTTGCGAGCGAGTGCGCGCTTCCATGCCCTACTTGAGAAATTTTTTTTTTTTTTTTGGTGCATCGATTCTTTCTCTATTCCTTTTTGACTTAGCGCTGAAAATCATAGAATGGTCCGATGAGTATATGGGAAGAAAAGCGTATTCTTGAAAGGCTCAATTCACGACAGACGGCCAATTGTATCGGAATTCCGGATGAAAAAAAAAAGGAAAAAATATCGGTATGTCTGCGCTTTCAAGTTTACGGTAATTGTTATTGGCCCAATTTATATGTATAGAGTCAATGGGAAAGCGATGACCGAACGATCGGGAGCTATTGTTCATACCTCGTTGCCTTGAAAAATCGTCACTTCGGACCGAAATTTCGTACATAAAATCAATTCGCTTGCGTCAGCGTTAGACATTACCACCCTATCGACAGGTGTGTGTGTGTGTCTGTGTGTGAAAATACGAAATCTGTCAAGGTCATTGCCGCTGCTCGTAAGATTTCGACCCGATTTTATCGATTTATCGTTCATAACTCTTGATGGTTATTATTATTATTTCATTCACGCAAGTATCGAGCAATTGTTATTTTTTTTTTTTTTTTACATGAAATGGATTTTCAAGTTTTTTTAGGAAAAACTTTATACTCGTTGTTCTTCATTACCCATAAAATTTATTTATCCTCCCGATTTCCCGCTGCAGTGCACGTACACAGCAATCCATCATGATCTTTAAATCTTCAATTTACTCAATTCATCTTTCAATTTTACTTCGTTAATAATGGATTTGTTAAAAATCACTGTCACAAACATAAAATACATGTATTCAAGCCAAGATTCATTTATATTTTGACACTGTCCTACGCTCCATTATCATTGTTCTGTTAGATAGGCATCAGCAGAGTATCAAAGGACGCGCGACAAAAAGCTAATCGAGTTCGGTGAGCATTGTAACTCTATAAATATTGTTATTTGTTATTATTAATTATCATTATACTAAATACAGTTCTAGATTTTTTTCCTTGCAGATAAAAAAAAAATATATTGTGGTGACTCGGTAAGAATACCGAGTAATATTTCAATATCTCTTTCAGTAATATTATTCGGTAATATTGATCAAAAAATTTTTGAGGTATAATTATGAATGCAGTATTTACTTTATTCGTATGAAAAAATACATCAAACAAATTTTTATGTATGGAAATGTCACAAGAATTGAGATTTATAAATGTGAAATAGATAAAGAAAAAAAAAAAAACAGTATTCAAAGTACCGTAACATTATTGTCGTGTAGACACTTTTATCATGACTGCACTTTAAAAAATAAACATTTGAAGTGAATTAAACGAAAAACATTGGTAATTTATCGATTATTTCTGATTTAACCTGGACTTTAACCTGCTCTTGTTGGAGCCTACTGAGATCGATATTAATGCTGAAACGAAAATTATTCATATTTTATAAAAGTCACGGGCATTCTAGTTGCAATATTATTTTTAGTGATGTATCAAAATCAAACTCACTCTTGGGTAAGAGCTCTTGCTCGGAAAGCAGCAAGATGCGCGTAATACGTTGGTGCCGGATAACTCACGGACCTTGTACAGCGGCAAAACATGTGACACAAGTAATAAGTAAGCTGCTCGATTTGGTTTTCCGTCAGGTTCGAGTCATCCCATAAGCACCTATATTTCGTAGGCCTAGCAGTACCCTAAAAAAATGAATTTTTTTTTTTTTTTTTTTTTTTTTTTTAATATACTGTTACGTAGGAAAGATTATTATTCTTAATTAACAGAATTAAAATACAAAATGAAAAAAATTCGCATACTTGTATACTGGCATGAGATATTAGATAAAAGTCAATGTGGGAAGGGTGCGTTATATGCGTATCGACAATTGTTCCAGCTTGAACATTCTTGTTTCGATCATCGCTATTTCTGGGGTCGGTCGGGAATAACCTTATGTGATGTCTTTTTTGGACTACCAAAAATGTTATTTTTGGCTCGTAATCGGGTTCCAGGAGTTTACAGGCTCTTTTTATGGCAGTCAATTCTTTTGCTAATACTTGACCAAATTGTCCCTCACTCACACCGTCTCTGTTAACGAAAATGATTAAAATTTATTAAACCACGTTAAATTGTATCATTTTAAAAATATTAATGTTCATCAAAATCTTAAGTTTTTGTTTTTTTACCTAAAATAAAACAATTTCGTTGGCTTCCTTTGTCCATTACACCTATAAAAATACAACAAATTGTTTTTCATGATTTCTGTCAATTCCAAAATCATTTCCTCTCGCGGAGGCTGCAATCTTATTTCAATTTTGTATTTAAAGTTTGATAGATCATGACTAGCTGTGACCTTTAAAACAAAATTATGAGATTTTAATAACGAAATAAAATGACAAATTTAGAAATCAAAATATAAGATGAATTTCCTACGGCAGCGATGGATGGAATATCAAGGGCATCTGGGGATGGATGAGTGACATCAGCACCAATAATCATAAACTGATTTGCAATATTCATAAACGGTTGACTGTGAAAAAAAAAAAGAAAAATCATATTTCCATGCATCTCGTTATAAATTATATTTGATTAGTGTTATTTATATTGTTTTACTAGTTTGCCAAGGAATGAGTGACACCAGTTAACTTGGTATTAATTTTCAATAGTATGTTTGTAACTGTTGCATCGTTGAATTTTGGTCCAAATATTGTTTTTCCTTTCAAGCAACTCGTTAGGACACCAACACTAAGTTCAGACATCTGCTTTACTCTGCCTGGAATATTAAAATTTTGGTAAAGTTTTAGGTATTTTCGAAAGACTTTAGCTACAGTGTGCATACTTACTGTAATATCCTTTTGTGTCCGGAATGATAACAACGACTAAATTCAGATTCTTGTTATTCATAAAATAATCACGCAAAGGTCGGGTGTCGTTACCTCTCCATTGTACGGTCTCAAAAGGAGTTTTGGCTTTACCAATAGGTACCCCCAAATTTGGACCTAATATGATAGACAAAAATTTAACGATTTTGAACAATTGAAACAATTATTTTAAGAATACGTTTACCCATTCTTCTCAGTTCACTTTCCAAATTATAAAGAGCACCATCTCTCGTCCTGCTATCAACATTTAAAATAGTCCACGAGTTGTCTTCTCTAATTTTGTTTGTTGGTTCTTGAAATTTGTTGGCACGCCATACACCCTTAGCAACTCTAGCGACGTTATTGCTATAGTACTGTATTGGGGGAGGATCTAATACTCGAGCAGGAACTTTTTCAAACTCTCCACTGATTGAAATATCAAATTCCCTCATGGAAGAATTCTGGTTATGCTGTATGGGATGACACTGCAACAAATGTTTTTAAATACAAGTTTATTCTGATAATCATTGGGTCATAAAAATTCATCTCAAGTTACTAACAGCATCCATAATTTTTTGTTTTCTACGATCGGTATCTGTTGCCGCGGCACGAATCATATTGGATGTCTGAGTTTCATCAAGTTTCTTCTGTGTAGCTTGACCCGCAACAATCGTACATATCTGTAAAAATAAATATGGTAATTACACGTTATACACGTAACATTGAATTTCTCAATGAATATAACATCAAAGAGCTTACTTCAGGTGGAACATAAATAAGCTTATCTCTAGAGCCAACCCAGAGACATGGTAAGGTTGGATACTGGATCTTATATTTTTTTTCCATAGCATAGTACCTTTCAACAGTGATTTTATTACCATCACGTTCAAATATATTATCTCTTGGAGATTTGACAAGATCATTGACGCGTTGAGTTCTTTGGTCCTGACCAGGAACTTGGATCGTGACTTTCAAACCTTTTAAAAACTTTACAATATCATCCCTGTAACGGTGAACTAAATCTGGTGTTAATTCACCACCACCACCACCACCTTGACCTTGATCTCCTTGATATCTTTGGCCTCCTTGATATCCTCCTCTTCCGCCTCTATCACCTCCTCTACCACCCCTATCACTTCCTCTACCACCACCTCCTCTGCCACCCCGTCCACCTTGGTAGCCACCACCACCTTGATCAGACTGATTATCAATGCCACAAATTGATTTCATCAAATCAATAACATTTTGGGATTTTGGAAAAGCTTTATGAGCCACTGTAATAATCATTAAACTTTGAGCATTTTTGTACTTGTACTAAGGTGTTTGTAAATATTTACCATCTTTGTAAATACTTACCATCAACATTTAAAAATGGTTTCCATCCTAGTACAGCAGATTGAAAAAGACCAACCCACAAATCCATACCACTACCAAGATACACGGGTTGCCCTTGGGGCGGACGAAAGAATGATCGCCCTACCTATTTGATTAATCATAGAGTATTACAGATTTTCTTTCATTAATTTATATAATACTGTTTTATGATAGACTAACTGTTATGGATGTTAATGCTGGAGCACTGCGCAGTATAATATCCAATGCCTGAATGGCAGTTTGACTTTTCTCATCATCTTGTAAACCTGGTCTTACATCTTTCAGCCATGATAAATCAAGTACGTTTGCAATTTTCAAAGTAACTTTGAATTCTTTTTCTCTGCCGTCTTCATTTGGAATTTTCACTTCATATGTTGGCTAAAAAATATTAAAAACTTATATCAAATTTACACTTTACGTGGATTTTTCTTCTTTTTCTGTATTATTACCGATATTTCACCAAAAGGTAACATTCCCGCAGAGTAAGCATTCTTTTTTCCATCAAATGCTGGGTATCTGTTTGAAAAATGTTCTTGTCTTATTTTATTGAAAACCGGCCTCATCAAATATTTGGGAACATTTGGCTGTATATCAACGTCGTAATGAATAACGTTAGATCTAAAGTTTTTCCCAAATCTAACAGCCATCATATTAGTGATGACTTCAATCGGTCGTCCCTGCGTACCAGCTTTCATGGGATCTTTGCGTTTAGGAATTTTGGCATACCAAGAATCATATTCTTTTCTTGCTTGAGCAGCCGTTTTGGATTGGCTCAGCGATTGCTCCTACAAACGATTTAATTATGTCAATGCTTCAAACAAATAAATGATGAAACTCAAATAATACAATAAATTTAGCAATACCAAGCAGTGAGGTAAAACAACTGACTACAATAATGGATAGAGCAATATTTGAAATTTTTTACCTTAATGGTCATTTTTTCAAGTTGACCAGTGGTCGCTTGAATATCTGAACTCTGTGTTTAACAAAAAAAAAAATTTTTTAACTAAAATTGAAACACATCCTGTCTTGCCAAATATCATATAGGTTATTTTAATACTTGTCTTAGAGTTCCAGGAGAAGATGTTGGTTGCTGTTGCGGCTGTGGCTGTCGTTGATGTGGCTCTGGCTGTCGTTGCGGTATCTCTTGACGTTGTTGTTGCGGTATCTCTTGTCGTTGTTGTTGCGGTATCTCTTGTCGTTGTTGTTGTGGTGTCTCTTGTTGTTGTTGCTGCTGTGGCTCTCGTTGTTGTGGCTGCTGTTTTTTCTGGCCCCAAAACGACTGCTGAGGCTGAGCTAATTGTTCTGCTGGTTGCTGATGCTGAGTTTCTCTTCCCCAAACTGATTGTCGAGGCTGGGCTGACTGACCCCAAGCTTGATGTTGCCTTTGGTCTGGAGCAGCTTGTGGAGGTGCCATTCCTACAGACTGACTTGTGGGTCTTTGTTGGTTTCGGCCTCTGCCTCTTCCTTTGCCTTGCCCAACATTATGTCCCTGTTGCTGCTGCTGAGGCTGCTGAGCAACATGTTGTGTTGGCTGAGACTGGGGTCTCTGCTGCTGCTGCTGAGGCTGTTGAGCAGCATGTTGAGTTGGCTGAGACTGGGGTCTCTGCTGCTGTTGAGTTTGTTGAGACTGAGGTCTCTGCTGCTGCTGCTGCTGAGCAGCAGGTTGAGTTGGATGAGACTGGGGTCTCTGCTGCTGCTGAGGCTGTTGAGCAGCATGTTGAGTTGGCTGAGACTGGGGTCTCTGCTGCGGTTGAGTTTGTTGAGACTGAGGTCTCTGCTGCTGCTGCTGAGCAACATGTTGAGTTGGCTGAGACTGGGGTCTCTGCTGCTGCTGAGGCTGTTGAGCACATGTTGAGTTGGCTGAGACTGGGGTCTCTGCTGCTGTTGAGTTTGTTGAGACTGAGGTCTCTGCTGCTGCTGCTGCTGAGCAGCAGGTTGAGTTGGCTGTGAGAGTCCACCTTGGGCTTGTGGCCCTTGTTGTGAGCTAGATTCACCTTGAGTAGAATGAGCAGGAGGATTCCCTTCGCCTGCTTTATTTCTTTTTCCACCTTTTTTTTACATAGAAAATGTATCGACAATGTTTTTGGTAGTTTATAAACGATTAAACTTTAGTTTGCACACGAATTTTGTTGGAACAAATACTAGCACTGAACAAATATGAGTGTGCTCGCGTGTTTAAAGTATTTCAATTGAAAATTTAATGAGGCACTCACCTTTTCTAGTCATCGCTGATGCAGAGAAAATTGCACTTGTATCTTATTTATTAACCTTACGAATGATATCACAATAAGTAATGCAATCTAATTCATTAACAAACACGTTTTTGTAGATAAAGCTATAAATCACTATGCTGTTAATCACTACAAAATCGCTTTTATCCTAGGTTCGTTTCGCATTGAATCTTCGGTTTCTTCATTCTTTAATTGTGGTCTATTGTAACCAAACTATATATAGCATAGTATATAATATGGAAGTACGGAAAATTCCCGGAAATCTGGACAGCTTCGTCTGACGCAGCCTTTGAACAGGACTTGACAAGTCGTAGTTGGATGGTGGTGAGAAAAACTAATAAAGTAAAAGGGCCTTCCCTCAGTCGCGGTAAATTAAGCTATACGACACTCGGCAGCACAAGAAAGAGAGTATAAGTAGTGAGAGTGAGTAACAGTATACCTCATTAAATTTTCAATTGAAATACTTTACACCGTGGCCGTCTTTTCTTTGCATGTCACATAGTCACATATGTCCAACACATTCTTGTCTAATGCCAAGCTCATGAGTAGCTGCCTTTAGGCCTCTTAACGGTAATCTGAAGGTCCGTGTGTTCCAGTAGCGCTTTCCAACAACTTAAACATGACGCAAGATATCGGAAGACATAATTAAGTTGTCGGAGAGCGTTACCGGAACACATCCGGTAACGTGAATCTGAATCATACGTGAGTCGTACGTGAATCTCACTTATATATATATTGGTTCTGACCTCGTGATAGGAGGTTATGAAGTATGAACAATCACCACAAGTATATATTTTTTATATTTAAAGTGTATTTGACCTCGTCAGAGATATTTACACTCTAACTTTATTAAATCAATTATTTCATTGTGAACGTTCATATTGAAAAGGGGGTTCCACTGTTCCGCTAACCTCAAAGTGAGTGAACAGACTGAACAGACCTATACCTCTTTTTCCATCAGGCAACAAAGCTTATGGTCGCAACTATGTTGACTGACAGAGAACACAGTATAGGTCTGTTCAGTTTGTTCACTCAATTTGAGTTTAGCGGAACAGTGGAACCCCCTTTTCAATATGAACGTTCACAATGAAATAAGCAAAAAATGTCTACGTGAATAGCTTCTCAATATCAACATTCACAATGAAATAAGCAAAAAATGTCTATGTGAATAGCTCCATTGTTTGGAGAAAGAATATTCCCACACATCTCCAGAAATTATAGCAATTGTAAACATGCCCTTAGTAATTATTAAAGTGTGGTGTATTTGCTGTTCCTTTTTAGACATAAAAATTAATTTTAAGTTGATAAGTTTTTTCAAATTTTTTGAACCATTTAAAAAAAAAAAGAAAAAAAAATCGAAAACATTGTGCATGTTGAAACATGTTCTCATATATTAAGTATAAGTATATCGTACACTAAGCCCGTAGAAGGGTAAAAATTTTAGTGCAGCTCAAAAGAAGGTTGTGACATTATTAAGATACACGTTACTCCCAACTAGAGATTTTTGTTGTGTAATTTCTCATGCGCGCCCTCCAAGTAAGTGTACTTATACATAAACAAACGACCGCGAAGCTTGTATAATATTTTTGTTCCCCGAAAAGGCAGTTATAGGTGTATATATCATGAAAATCACAACAATTCAAATTAATGGTTGACGACGCTTGCGAGAGCCGACATTCTGCTGGTGTTGTGTGTATGTTTTGGAAATAATAAATGGTCGTGTTTGTATGTTTTTCTCGATAAATAATAATTTGCTTGTTTTCACATCTGGAAAATTTTGGTGCCTGCCTTAGTAAGCGATATATACATGTATGAAAAATTGGTTTGCTATGGGGAACAAGAATGTAGCTTTTCCGATCGCGAGTTAATTGGCCAAAACACCTCAGGTCGGTAACCATGAACCTATTAATGTAGGTATATATATCTCGTATATACATATACACAGAGAAGGCATTCTTTACTTTTTGTCCCCCTGTAAGTGTGACTTATAGTTTTTACGCGCTTATTCATGTTTTTATTGCAATTTTTTTATAAAATGCATCCCAACCAGTTTTTTATGTAATGCAAAAGAGCCTATTTTTTATGGGTCGAGATATTTTTATATTTTTCTTTAACACTTTCTCAATTACACACTACATAAACACCTGACGGCATAGTTTGAAAATGATTTGCAAACAAGTTTCACCAGTGCAGCGTGTATATTCACATGAACCACCTCATCGTTAACCTTTAATTCATTCCCGAGACGAATAAGCATTATTAAGTGAAAAAAAAAAAAAAAAAAAACAAGTTCAAGTCTGTAATTATAAATGGTTATTACAATACCATTAGAGCGAGTTTGTCGTCTATGCACACATTGTAATTACGCGGCATTGTACCACTTGAGTCGAGGTCAATGGTCGCAACTAAAATATTGAAATTTTCCTTAATTTTCAGCAGGTAAGTGTGTACGGGTAAAGCCACTTGTACACTATATATACGAAGACGACGAGTTGGTATTCAATCGATCGAAAATTTGCCAGAAAATTATATATATATATAAATTACGCGCATGTGCGTCGACACACCCAACGATCGGCCACACCAAGCGCGTAAGAAAAGCAAAAACCATTTGCGGAATCTTCATTATAAACGCGTCACGCGACCTCGAAACTCGGTCGAGGCAACAACGTCGCACGCACGCCATCGCACATCATCATCATCTTCGCCTTTACCTCTTCTCCTTTTACCGCCTCGTTGCGACGTATGGCCTTGTTATTTTACGTGTGTCCCTTCCCCCCATATATACCGTTATAGCCCTTTTTGTTGTTATCAATCATCCATGTTTACTTTGCCCTGTTTTTCTTCCCCTTTCTCGTGCATTATACACTTGTATACGCGTGACTCTGACGCTATACGTGTACACCGCCTGTATACCGATTTAATTAGGACTGACGCGTGTCTGCCCAGTCTATGCCGTCGTCGCTATTGTTGTAAATTTCAATTTGTGTTTTTATACATATGGGACGGGATATGCACAGTCAATGGATTCGTATACGTACGAGCGATTGATGGGGCGTTTTTTTTTTTAAATTTTTTCACTTTACAATTGTAAAATCTCGCGTGCGAGAGCGGCTGAAACGGCGCTCGGTCTGATTGTACGATGGGCAAGTAAGTGTAACGAAAACTTGGTAAAATTCGTGCCGGCGAGAGTGCGTTATCGCGCTTCCGTTTTGAAAAAACGACAAGTGCCGTTGGTCACCCACAACCGAGCCAAAAGATAAACTATGCGAAAAAAAAAACAATTAAAACAGAAAGTGTCTTGTTCTTGAATCATTATTACTTTTTTCTATGCGATTCTAGAGAAAATATATCCCAGCAATGGCATGTCGATTAAATTTTAATGCTTCGGCGTGTTTTGTAAGCAGAATATCACATACCCGTCAGGTATAATACACATGCATTGCGAATCAACGGTAAATTAATTATCGATTCATGCAAAGTACCTTTTTTTTTTTTTTTTTTTTTTCCTTTTGCTCAGCCACAATTTGCCTACGCTGCTCGTTTGGGAAAAAACAACAAGTATATGTAATACATTAATTCGCTAGTGTGGCTCTCTTGGCATGAGTGAAAGAAATGGAATTCAATGAGAGCGCCATGCATATTCAGAACAATGTTTTTTTTTTTTTTTGTCCTTCTGACGGGTATACTCATGAATTACGACAATAAAGAATTTTACACTGCCGAAGAATATGAGTACAATCAATCGGCTTGTGGTTGACGGAGATAAAATGTTTAATTGCTTTGTTTTGCTTTTTGCTGTGAAAAATGTAGAATGGGTTTAGTGGGGCTGGAAGAAGTAATAATCCTCGTACCAACACAAATGTATTTTATATTCAAAGCTATTGCATCCAATTTGATACAATCCCATTTGATTGATAAATATACGTTTTCATATATTATAAAACTCTGTTTCTCATGTGTATACATAATTATTATATATGTATTTGCATATTAGTAGCGGAGATAAAGAAATCATTCATCTATTAAAAATAAAACCATAACAATAATAATAAATTAAGAGCGTATGCACATAAATGTGCATGATAATAATAATAATGACATGTGAATATTAAATGAATATAATATCATCATTTATAATTAAAAACAGAATATCTGATGCAGTGATCATTAACACCATTCAAAGTTACACAATGACAGTAATGTTGTTAACCTCGAATTGTTTAAATGTATACTGAAGTTTTTGTTGGTAAATGTAAGCGTGTAAGTACTTGTAGGTTTCAAAAAAAGAGTTTTAATTTACGTGTATTGTACAAAGTTGTTTGTAAACTCAAGTGTTGATAAGAGCTTTAAAAAAAATGAAATCGATGGTTCATCAAATACCTCACCAATAACTCTATACTAATCTAATAGACAGACAGAAAAAAACATCAACACAACAACGCTGCACAAATCGTTTTGCTTGTATTTTTTTTTTGTTTTTCAACGCGTTGGGATACATCAAACAGTTAATAAATTTATTTAACTAATAATTAACTAAAAATTAAATAACAGGTAAATTCGATCAAAGTGATCACGTATATATGATACGCAGTGATATTATAGAGAGTGAGGCCCGCTTCGTACACGCGCCGTAAATTATTTTTGCAATTCGATACAGCCGCCATGGGAAGTTTAAGATACAACAAAAAAGTGTTTTGCGCAAAAAAATGTCTCCGTCCCCCATCTGCTGATATGCATATATATACGCATGTCAATTGTTTTCTAATGCGCGCCCGGACATTTGTAAGTTACCGCCTCATCGATTATACGGTACCAAAAAATTTGAAAATCATTTTTTTTTTTTTTTTTTTTTTGGAATAACAAAGAGAGAGAGAGAGAGGGAAATACGTAAAATGGTAATTTTATCGTCGGATGACAAAAAGTGCCCTCTCATCGTCCCGTTCCAATCTTTGCTTGTAATACCAATAAGGCGACAAAGTTGACGTTTCGTGTATTTCCATACATATATCCTCGACGATTCGAATCAAAGTGGAGAAAAAAAAAAAAGATCCCATTGACCCTAAAAACACACAAAAATGAGGAATATAGGAAAGTATAGAGATTTTCTCGCTCATGTATACATATATACGGACTACTTATCACTGCTCATCTCTTTCTCTCGATGTTCTCGTAAGATCGTACTGTAATCACGCGAGCACGATCGAGCACACACACACACACACATACATATATATATATATATAGNTGTGCATTCCATCGGTAGTGCGGCGCCGATACGGCGATACAACTCGCGGACGAGACGGACGCGTCGAGCGGATGGAAAAGCTCTTTGGAAAGCTCCGGTCGAACCTTGGAACTGTACCTATATATATATATAGTGGCAAAGTTAATTAGACGCACCTACATTCTGGAATATTCATACTTGAAATTTTTTTTTTTTTTTCGTTGAATCAATATCGCGTATATATACATAGGTAGCGCAAGAGCTTTTGCAACGTGCGCTCATATCCTACTCAATGGAGGGAGAGCATAAAAACACACATGCTCGCAAGCATTGAACGCGCGGGAAGGGAGGGAGGAAACCGAGAGCCGGCCGGCGCAAAAGCGAATTCGCGGACAGTCAGTTGCGAACGGCGCGAGCCGAAGCAGTGCCTCGAGTACACACCTCGTGTATATTTACTCGCTGTATATAAGTACGGACCGGACGCGGTTTTCGGCTCTACCCCCTTTTCCTCTCTCTCTCTCCGGTTACCATTTTGATCGATCTTTTTTTGCTCGTGTTCTCGTTTGCTGTACGCGAGTGCTACATTATATTACCTTGGCCGTTGGGATATTTTTTCTCTATTCTCGGTCCTCGACACTTTGGTTTTTCCCCCCATCATCCGTGGCAATCGATCGGTTGTAGTTCCACGAGTGTTTTCGGGGCGGTACAAAAGATATCTCGCCGAATGTGCGGGTCCTGGAAACTAAACAATGTGACACAAAGTGCGGCCATGAATAATATAAATTGTTAATTCGTGGATTGACAAAGTGCGTTGCTCGCGAGCTCGCGTGTCGGGAGTGAAGCCGTGAAAGTGCGACGTTGTGTGCTAACGCGTGGCACAATTTGATAACAATAAAAAAAAAACGAAAGAAAAAAAGAAAAGGGTGACCATGAAAAATTACGGGAAGGAGGAGGAATTTCTCGCGAGTCGCCCAGATTGTCCGGAACATTGAATTGGCCAAAATTTCAGTACGTATGTCATGTGGAATTTTTTTACCTTTCGTAACGCGTGAGTCGTGTGTACTTACTTTTTTTTTTACATCCGACGATGACTTCATGCGTGTGTAAACGCGCTCGCGGGAGATTGCGATTCTTGAGATGTATGCATGACGTCATACGGCACAGATCACACAAACCGACGCGGTATGGGGATCCTTCGACGGTGTGCGTTACTTATCGGGTGATTTTTTTTTTTTTTTTCCAACTTTTATCGTTTAGTGCAGGAAGTCAGGAGAAGTTTTGAAAAAATTCATTGAAATGGACCGTTAAATTATACGGATATGCCGTTCTTTTTGGACAAAATTTTAAACCCCTTTTCTTCCTCGTAGAATAAAACGTACTTTTTTCGTCGAATAATACACCGTAACACGTAATTTTGTTTTCGAATTCCTTATACTCATAATAATTTATCAAATAATTGTATACATCTAAACAGGATGTGTACGAATGAAAACTAATTTAACCGCTCACGTGGCCACGATAAAGTTAATCATAAAATTATCATCTTTGTAATCCATTACAATAATAGTGTTTATCGAATTATCTATGGATATCGCTTATTACGTACTATTTTTACTGAAAACTCTCCAAACAAAAATACGTTTTGTACCAAGACTCTGAATAAAGAAATATTCTTAACGAATTATCACAAAAAACCTGTGTCCATATCTTTCAACAATTAGTGATGTATGGTAATACTTACCACTGCTTAATTGATTCCTTTTCGGTCGATATCAATAGCTTCGGGACATTTTTTGGTAAAACTTTATCAACAAATTTCCTCACGTCTTTTGCTCGAAAAAGTTATAACTTTGGCTTATGTCATCATCCACACATTTATATCCGACGTTTTGAACCATACTTTCGGCCCAGTAATGCAGCTAAAGAATGACAAACTTTATCGGAATCATGAAAAATTTATTGAAACGTTTTTTTTTTTTCTGTTTAGAGATGCGATAACGTTTTTATCGTTGAAAAAGTATCCATTATTAACGACGAACACGATAGATGAATATACAGGTAAAATTTAATATTTTAAAATTACATAGCTCCATCGTAAAGGTTGTCAACGAATATCTCACAATGCAAATAACAACTTGGGATGTTTTGAACGTAGATAAAGCGCATTACATTATCTTCTCCATCGTTACGATAAAATCTCCTATCGTTTAACAAATATATAAAGAATAAACAATGCGGCCTCGGTAATGTTACAATCTAAACCGATTAAGATACAAACCATTATTGTCACTATAAAAAAAAAAAAAAAGTGTAGCTGATATTACTGGTATGATATGCGTAGAGCTGAAGAGGGCAATCAAATTAATATTAGATACTGCATGACAGAGGCACGCGTGGACAAATGAGAGAAATCATATCAATTAACAGGTCGATGAGGGGAGTCCCACGTCAGTGGCGCTAGTATACCAACTGAATATACATGTATTTTAATTATTCCCACAGTATGCACGCATACGACGAATAGCGACGATGACGGTGATAATCACATGCAGCAAAGGAGTTAAAAGAGCAGCTCGGTATATAAGTAGCTGTTCCTCTCTGTTGAGCGGTGATGGTCACTGAACTCATTATGCGGCTTTGAGCAAACGTTTTTTTGATTTCATGCGACAGCCGCGCCGAGACGCGTTTTAATTAAAATTGAACTCTCGCAGTGGAGAGTTCAAATGAGCTGACACCGTATTTTTTGGTTTTCGAGCTTGTCATTGTTTGTCGCCGATCCAAGATGATTTATTTCTATGTACTGATAAGTGTACACTTGTCTGTGCAAGTATTACGTACCATGTATATTCGGATAACAATAAATACACACGGGTATCATCACTTTTCTCGATATTTTATTGCACGTCAATTTGTTTCTGCGTTTGTTAATCTATTATTTTTATAACGTGATACATATTGGTATAACTTTTATTTTGATCAATTCTGTTAAATTTTACTTTTGTTTCAAGTGACTCGACGCTTCTTGTGTCCATGCTATTACAATACCAAATTTTTTATTAAGAATAAATGTCATGGTAATTTTTGCGTGGTCAATTAATTATAATCGATTCTCAGGCATTGAGACGATTTTCTTCTTTTTGTTTTCACTTGTTTTAAAAAATTATTTGTCAACTCGGTTATTTAAACTTTTGTATGATTTGTTTCTTATCGCGGCTAGAATTTTAGCAATTAAACCTTCATGGAGGAATGAAGGCACGACAGAGTAAAATGATGTCTGTATAAAAACACACGACGTTTCGAGTATAAAGATCAGCATTGTGCGCACGCGCTGGCAATGAACATAACAAATTATACGCTAGTGGCAAAGTTAATTAGACGCACCTACATTCTGGAATATTCATACTTGAAATTTTTTTTTTTTTTTCGTTGAATCAATATCGTTGACAATATTAGAATAATTAATTTTTTAACTAAAAATATTAAAAAAGTGTATTATAATTCAGACAACGTTATATTTAAAAATTTACTGGAAAAAATATTACAATGCTAAAATAATTTATCACAATTTTAATATATATGAAACACACGTGATACCGTATATGAATGATCATTATAACGTGTCAACTTCTTGACTCTGTCCATGATCTCTGTAAAAAAAAAAAAAAAAAATCGCAGTATACTTTTGTATGAATTTCAACAAATGTATTGTAAAAAAATTCACGCAACGCCCACACGTACAGTCATGATGCCGCGAAACTAGGCTACTCCGGCTGTATCCGAGCGCGCCTGTGGCGGCGGAGAAGTGACGCCGACTTAGATTAAACAATCTACTCGAAATTGTGCCTCAACAGGCCTTATAGCTCGCTCTCTTCGCACACTATAGACGCACGCACCTCGTGCCTGCACTGTATATTTATACTTCTGTACTATATTATACCGATTAAATTTTTTTTTCTTTTTTTTCTTTTAAATATCGGACACGCATTATAAACGCATGTGCTCTCCCACTTCTTGCTGAGCCGAGACGCCCAAATCATGCAAATCGATCGTATATACTATTTATACAGGGCCTCCATAACTATAGGTAAACACCACTCGCTAATGAGGAACGAATTTGCCGAGCAATCGAGACACAGGGTGTGTGTTTTTTTCTTTCTCTTCTTTCTCCTGTTGTATAACGTAAAAACATTGTCGGTGCCGCTCGTTAGGGGACAAAAAACATCGCGAGAGATGTCACAAAGTATAAATACAAATACACGGTTTAACGAGAGCTCTCTCTCTCTCTTCGCGACGAATTTCATTCGCCCGCTGCTGCGTGCATAGGAATAATGGCGAGCTCGTGGACGACATTATCTCTCGATTGTTTTGCAGATAAGTGTACGTTACACTCTGTCTCTCGTATATATATATATGGGTGCACACACACCAACTTTGGGGTGTTTACTGTCTATACACATGTGCGCGATCGCTCGATCGTATGTATTAATTGCGCGGCGATGTTTGTTTTGTTCTACACACGAGGATCGAATGGGAAATTTGCTATCTTTCGGAGGTGCCTTTGCGGTCGATTCGAATCGACAGCCGTACTTATTTTTAATAGGACGAAATAGATACACGCTCATGTAAATTGGGTTTGAACAACCATCGTTGCTCTTAATCGTGTTTGCTTGTCTTTTCCTTTTTTTTTTTTTTTTTTTTTTTTTTTTCTTGG